CTCGCAATTTCGAACCTAAAAATAATATTTCATGATTGTTGGTTCTTAGGCTAACAATGCATGGACGCAGAACAATGTCCTTAAAATAAACCGCCGAGAAGTAAAAAATAATATATACTAAAACCTTTTCTATCGTTAGTCAAATTACTATGCCCACTGGCCTGCCTGCCACTGGTACCGATTCCAAATATGAATTTGACTAATGATAAAAAATGTTAATTGCCGAAAAGTAAAAGCTTTTCGGCGGTTTAAAGGTTTTTGTTAAAAAGTTATAAATCATGAAATAAGAAATAGGTTAATAATCTTTTCTTTTTACACGACTGCCAAGTGTCATGTTATTATTATTGGTTCAAGAAGGTATGTCTTTGTAAGTGTGTTTCTTTCTTCCTAAACTTCTAAATGCCTGAACAGATTAGTGTTGCTCAAAATCGGTCTTGCTTGTTCTTTCAATTTCGTAAGACCAAGACTGTCAGTGCAAGATTTGAGCAATAACAAGACTTAACCTGCGAGACTCTTGCGTCTTGCAGTTAGGTCGTTACAGGGAGTATTAAGAATTCGGGTGAACGCTTAGGGACTCCATGAGACGTAGAAAATTTATTTAAAAATGTAGAAAATTGTGCTAGGTTCACACCTTGACTGTGAATTTTGCGTAAAATGGCAATTTGTGGCCTTCATGATCTCAGAAACCAATATAAGTAAATTAATAATTTTGACCTTTTGAATGCTGCAGATAACCATTGAAATATTTCGTAGCGGCCTGGCTTTTAATTTTGCTTAACTTTTTTATTAAACTCAAAATTGCAAAGATCGATTTTCATAAAATGCGCGAAGGATCTTTGAGCTCATAGATTGAGCACTCTTCTCAACAAATGAATTTAAAAATAATAGAAAATTATCTCTTAATTTAGTCGAATAGGTCGTAGCGGCCTCGGAATTTTGAAATATCATTGATTAAAATGTAGAAATATAATAGTTTTCTTAACCAAAAAACTACGAAAATTGCTCTTAGTTGAGTATAAGTATATTTTTCCCTATGAACGATATTATTATTAAGCAAGATTTAAACCACAATGTTATGGAACCCTTCGGGGTAAAAGCTACTAAATCATAGAAACTAAAACCAACGTACTAACTATACTTACATTTTTTAAAACTGTAAACTAAAGTATAGATAAAAAAGGTCTATTATATTATTTTTTATATACCAGAATAATTTTTACTTCATGAGGCCGATACGACGATACGACGTTATCCCGTAGGGATTTGATTTTTCCCAGTATAAAAAGTAGCCTATGTCCGTTCTCAAAGTCCATTCTATATCTGCAGTTCTTGCATTTGAGCAACACCAGAACAGTTTCGGACCGATATCTTAAGCATTCTTACATTTGTAGGAACTGCTTTTTTGCAGATCAGTCATGCTTTTTTTCGTTTTCTGGCAGCAAATCTTTTCATTGTTAATAGTTTATTTAATAGAATATAGTTCAAATTACCATTAGGTACAAGGCTGCTGACTACCGATGTCGTCCATATTGGATTGTCAATTTCCGATAATTTCAGTTGCTATACAGTTGAGGAATGCGTTAAAATTATTTAATAGTCAACACGCCCCCCAGTTAAAAAAATGGTTGCCTGTAAAGTCGGTTTTACGGGCGAAGATTTTACGTGACAACGTCTTTTTCTCGGTAGAATATTTATTGATATGAATATAATTAAATTGCACAATAGGAACAAGGAATTGAATGAAAATAAGAATTGCACAAATTTTAACTATAGAAATATATTTTGTTTACTAAAACATTGTACATGTAAACTTAAACTTAACACGAGAGACTCATCGTAACGTTACCGAGCGTTACACTTTTTCATAAGTGACTCCCAGCCGCAACCTAATTTAAGACGTTGTCACGTCAAAATTTTCAAACGTTTCCTCCGTTTCGAGAAACTTATGGACAACATAACCGCCATATGGAGGAGGACACATTTCGGATCGTGTTTAGTGAAAAAAATATAAACAGTCTGCGATAAACGTGCTAAACTCCGAGAAAATCAAATGGTTAATATAAAGTGTGATAGAAACTTCCCAGCTTTTCAATTTATTGAAAGAGAAATTCAACGGGTTCCAAATCCCAAGTTTCGGGGATAAGAAATGACCTCTAAGTTAAAGATTATTAAGATTACTTAAGAAGTGAATATTATTGTGAGGTTATGTAAAGTCGCTGGTGAATGCGAACAACAAGAACTGTCGATTAACTAAAGAGAAACATAGCACGCGTCATTGATGAGATAGAGGTTGACGATTATTATCTCAAAAAGTGATGCAAAATTGGCACTTTCATATTCACACTACCAAACGAAGCCGAGGTAGTCATAATCGATCTAATGGGTCCCGACTATTAAAGTACCTTTGTTCCTTACCTAACAGAATTATAGACTAGAATTATAGACTACTAGACATTTTTTTCTTTTCAGTTTTTATTTGGAGTAGGTAATATTTAAGCAGTCGGGTTTTTAGACTTTTTAAATTTTATTTTATTTGAATTTAAATATACCCTGTTACTACCTATTGAAAAACCCTTCACCTAACTGTCTACCTAATAACAAAAAACGAGTAAAATATGTAGCAAGTGATGCAGGCAAATCATATCGGTCCGTAATTTATTGGTATGGAATTGTGTTACAAACAGGACATAACAACCTTATCATTTTTTACCATTAAATAAAATGAGTACCTACTCATAATTGGATAAATAACACGTATTCGATACGCATCAGTCAATTAATTTATGACTTATTGTTAATTAGATATGTTTAAATGCTATTATGAGGAATTGTTTATAGGTATCCATCTACTGTACACAATATAATTAGGTTCTTACAATTTACGTTATGTCTCATACACAAACACATATCTATAAAATACTTAATTATAGGTATCGTTAGATTAATAAAGTGCCGGCACTGGGGTAGAGCAAGTGGTGAGAATGGAGCGCGATAGCTCTAGGCGCCGAGTTGCAAACGGCCGCCAAAAAGCCAAATTCGGGAAACTTTCTAACGGGAAAGAAAAACGAAAGCTTATCAAAATACATAAAAGTTAATTACATGTTTCGTTCTAGGTAGGTAATATTTTTTATTTCATTATATTTTTATTTTAAGTTTTTATTTATAGTTATATTTTGTAAGGTTTTTTTACCAGAAATAATTTAAACAATCTAGAATCGAACCACCATACGCCAGGTTCCGAGCGAATCCACTGCAATTTACTAATCATTATTGATCTTGATGGTTAATAAAGAAAACAAACTTTAAACCCCACAAACTTTAGACCAATTTCTGTACTACCCACCTTTAGTAAAATTTTTGAAAAAATCATGTTAGATCAAATGCAATCACATTTTAATAAATATAATATACTTCACTGTAAACAATTTGGTTTTACACGGGGTCGTTCAACAACCGATGCCGGTGTTGAACTTATACAACAAATTTTTGACGCCTGGGAGAACTCGCAGGACGCTCTAGGTGTGTTTTGCGACTTGTCCAAGGCTTTTGATTGCGTTTTTCATGACACATTACTCAGGAAACTCCACCACTATGGATTTAGAGATACTGATCTGGATCTTATTGCATCATACCTGAGGGATAGGATTCAGAGGGTTGACATTAATGGTAATAAGTCTCCGGGTTCGCCGGTTAAGATGGGTGTTCCGCAGGGCTCAATCCTAGGTCCTTTCTTATTTTTAATTTATATTAATGACTTACCTTACTATGTAATAACCATGAGATAGTATTGTTTGCGGATGATACATCACTTTTATTTAAACTCAAACGCAATGAAAAAGTTATTGACGACGTGAACAATTGTATCTCTAAGGTAGTCCACTGGTTCAATGTTAACAATTTATTACTTAATGAAGGAAAAACGAAATGTATGAAATTTGTATTACCTAATGTAAAACAGGTAAAAACCAGTGTGAATGTAAAGGATAGGAATGTGGGCCTTGTAGACACCACAGTATTCTTAGGGATAACTTTAGATTCTAAGCTTCAATGGGGCCCACATATTGATAAATTGTCAAATAGACTTAGCTCTGCAGCATATGCCGTAATGAAGATACGCCAGTTAACGGATGTAGATACGGCCAGATTAGTGTACTTTAGTTATTTCCATAGTGTAATGTCGTACGGAATTTTATTGTGGGGAAATGCCGCCGACATTCAAACTATTTTTGTGCTGCAGAAGAGAGCTATTCGATCAATTTATAATCTTAAAGTTAAAGAATCATTAAGAGATAAGTTTAAAGAATTTGGAATAATGACGGTCGCATCACAATACATATACGAAAATTTATTACTTGTAAGAAAAAATATTAATTTGTTTCTTAAAAACAGTGATGTTCACACAATTAATACAAGAAACAAAAATAAACTAACTTTACCTGCTACTAGGCTTCACAAAATTAATAATTCATTTAAAGGTCTTTGTGTTTGCTTATACAATAAAGTCCCAAGCAATATCCAAGAGTTAGCCATAAATAAATTTAAAGATATTATAAAAAAAAAACACTTATTAAAAAAGCTTATTACAAAGTGTCTGATTATATTACAGACAAAAATGCTTGGGTTTGAACTGTTCCAATCATTCCAACAGGTTTTCTATATTAAATAAATCATAATTGTATTGACGTTGTAACAACATAATGATTTGTAAATGTTGTTACATTAGACTTTTAATGTTGTGGAGTTTTTTTCGCTCGTTTTTCTCCGCAGCTAAAAAATATGTCCATAACGAGTGGTAGGGAAAAAAAAATTTTGGACGATTCAAAAGAGTTGTACTATACATCCAATTTGAATAAAGATATATTGATTTCTGATTTCTGAAAACTACAATTTTTTTGATTTCATAAAACGTAATTTATTCACGACAGACTTATAAGTACACATTTTTTTCTAATGCAAACATTTCCTTACAAGGCAAAGTAGATCTATTGAATGTTGAGTATGTCGACCCTTTCTGACCCAATATGGGTATTTAACGCTATAATTGTGCCTCCACGTGTACTGCTTGTATGCCATCGCTGAGATCACAGCTTTGTGCATCGTCGGCCGCTTGATCGCCGGTCGCCTTGCTCAAGATCTCGTAGTGGGCGGCTTCTTCCTTGGGAGGACTCGTTTCATCCAAATTGTACCTAGCCAAAGAGGAAATAACCGTTAAGTTTTGATGTTTCAAGATAGGTGAGGCGTATGGAGTGTCACGGGTAGGATATAGGTTAGAAGGACCCGCCACTTTGACGATAACAGTATAATGATATACAAAGTTGTCACTAAACCATCGCGTTCATACAACTGAGCAACGAAATTAAATACCCTAGATACACCACGTGCGCTCAAAATGTGTCCCAATCAAGAAGTGCTTGAACTCCACTTAAGCACTTCTTGGTTCACAGTCACGCGCGGACCGTTGATAAGTCAAGATGCCGCAGAGCTCCGTGAAAAATGCGAAGAAATACTTACAGTACGTAAAGTGTCGTTTTTTCGAAGGGTATCTAATCAATGATTGTTAATTTAACGCATTCGAAGCAAATGTTCTAAATACTTCTACTTCTATAAACTGATTGAATTATAAAAGATTTGTGATCTTCGATCAACAATACTATAGATAACGGGTTGCATATAAAATCAAAGAATTAAACTGTCTGCGTATGTTTAAACTTATGCAGATACATTCGATTCCCAATGAACAAAGATAAATGTTTTAAAACAGTTTAAGTTTAACCCAATAACAACTAGCTCACAAAGGAATAAGGTTACAAATAACAAAATGTTATTTCGCACATACGACCTTTTATCTTATAAAACGAACTCGTTCCTTTTATAATTTACTAGCTGTACCCCGTGGTGTACCCGCGGTTTATTAGGGATATTTTTCCGCAGTAAAACGTAGGATATGTGTTAATCCAGGGTGTCAGCTAACTCCATAACAAATTTTATTAAAATCTCTCCAGCCGTTTAGACGTGAAGAAGTAACAAACATACATACTCACGCGCTGACTTTTCGCCTTTATAATATTAGTTTGATATCTGATACATGGAAAAAACGATAAAGGGGAAAAAGGAAAATGTGAAATGAACCTTATGACCCACAAAATAAAATATTTTTACCAGTCATTGGCCAGCGAGTTGCTTCGTTGTGTTTTAACCAAACTTATTTAAAATAAGATCTCACGCCTCAAGTGAGGCTATACTTACCGTAACGGATTTAACTAACCTTTTATCTATATAATTGTTGATGGAAGTTTGTAATATTCAAATACTTGGTCGGTTACATAGCCGTCTCTTTCCCTCGCGGTCCGTACCTGCTATATTGCTAACAGCGCATTCAGAATTGCGCGTAGAGAAATAAGTTATATATTCTTCCGCATATCGCATACATACATACACACGCTGTAAAATATTACGAGCTTTCATTTCGCACTGTCATAACTCTGACGCGTGCGTTTTAATTAAGACCTTATACAGTATGCATCAAAGTTGACTTTCAATGTTTACATAATGCCATATATTGTTTTCGACAACTTGATTATCTTACGGAGCTCCGTGGATCGTCCAATGTACCTATTGGATCGGTTTCGGTCACGATTTTGTTGTATATCTATCTATGTTATATATCTTGGGTATTTAATGTCGTTGGTTCTGAGGCCCAATCACGAATTTTAACAGCTCCGTTATCGTACCAGATTTTGTATTGAAAAAGCTAGTTTGTAATTACGTCCGATAGGGGCGCTGCTTAGTTTTCATAGAAATTTTGACAATGCGATGCGATTACGGAGCTGTCAGAATTCATGCTTGGGCGCGTCTCTGAAAAGAAGCCATTTAAAGTTTTAAGCAGAACATCAACACCTCAGAACTTGCCTGTTTAAGCTGATGATTTTTTAATTACTCAAGCGTTGATGACTGACTTAATGACATTGCTAAGTATCTAAAAGATTTAAAAGAAAGCAATTAGCCTAGTTTATTGCTATTTTAGGCAAGTATTTTTCTGAATTGGAGTGGCCAACACCAAAACACCGAGATGAAGAACCACAAATGCAGTATCCATCTAGAATGATTATTATTATATTTAAATAGACATAACGTATTTTTTTTAATTTTTCGTAACTGCAGTTACCGACATTTAACTTAAAGCGTGACATGTAAGTACCTAAGTAGTGTCATTGTGATCATCTTAAACTTAGGATCTTAGGTCTTTCTTAGATTACAGAATAAATAACTACTTAGTTACTTCACTAATGTATTATCAAACACATCCGGTTATTACTCTACGGATAACACGAGTTTATCTGTTCAATTTCCTAGTCACTCAATTATATACATAGTAGGTATCAATAGCAATTGATTCTAATTAAATAATGTGAAATTTATTATTATTATTAATGATTTACAACTTGAAAACGTTAGACAAGACATAATCATTATATTTTTTCATTTGATATAGATACTTGAGGCAATCGATCAATAGGAGCGGAGCATCAAGCGGAGTGAATCACATTATCACTGACGAATCAGAAAAATCGAGTTACGTTCGACCTTCTTAATGTTGTTCTTTTAGGGATCCGATAATTTAAAAGTCTTTTCAGCAAATATAATAATCGATTTTTATTTTCCACTTTTTATATGCCTGAGCAAAATCAACTAAATCCTTCGATATATTTAATCTTCTCCATTCCTACCCTGTGAAAACCTGAAATTATAATCACCAAAGAAAATCAACCTAATCCAAAAACGATCGCAAAGGGATGCGCTAGCCACTGCGCCGTCGAACTCCTTCAAGTTCTAATTCTATGAATAATGAAAAACCTCTTCTTTAAAGCTGCTTATCCACATGGTCTGAAGACGGCCGCGGTGAAGGAGTTGTGTGTGAGCGCACGTAGAGTATACACGTGACGAATCTCTCTAGAATCTTGATCACGAGCCCCCACCGTCTGCTCTTTTTTATGTCGGGAATAGGCACGACGCCTCCCTCGCATAACGAGAATAGCGCGGCGAGGACTTATTTATAGTTATTGCAAAATGACAAAGCGAATGGCGGACATAATGCCATAAGCCATTCTCTACTAGTCGACTAGTAAGAGCGTGTGAAAAAAACGAATATGATAAATAAAATAATAATAAATCTTTATTGAAGCACAAAACATTTGTACATAAACACTAACTGTGTTAACATCCGCAATAGTCGAAGACTGTGTCGCAGATGATGGGGGCGTAATAGAGACAAATGTAAGATAAACCAGGGATAAATACTCTTAATAGAATACACACATATTAGACACACAAACATGTATAAATATATATAAGTATATGATTATGTCAGTCAAATATGAGAACGCTGTTTAATGCTATTGAGATAGTGCTCACGAACCAATCCCCTAAATGCAAGTTTGTTAGGAGCTTTACGTATATTTGGGGCAAGTTATTCCAGTCGTACAGCCGTGACGGTGAAAGAGTAGGAGACGAAGCCTGAAGAATGGACGGGAGTATGCAGGAGGTTGTCCATTGAACGGAGGATATGGTCATGAGAGTCACTCAGTAACCTAAATCTGCTTTTTAGGTAAACCGGTGTATGTGGATCGAAGAGAAGATTAAAAAGGGCACAAACAACTCGAAGGTTCCTACGCTCGCAAATAGGGAACCACTTGAGTTGATGACGAAAATGTGAAATATGGTCGTATATACGTAAGCCATATATGAAGCGGATGCAGTTATTGAGAAGGCGATCCAACTTTTTAGAAGATTTTTATATCGGGATAACATTCATCGGCGTAATCGATGATAGGCAGAAGAGAGATTGAACAAGGGCAGTCTTGGTGCAAGTGGGCAGAAAGAACTTAAACCTGTATAGAGATCTTAAATAATTGGTCACCCTATGCGAGACGAAATCGACATGGTCTATCGACGAAGTTTTTCATTGACAATCAAACCCAAGTCCTTTACTTTAGCTGAGTAAGGAATAGTAACACCGTCATAGATTATCGAATTAACCTTATTAAGGTCAAGTTGCGACAGTAGACGTGAACTGCCACCAATTATTGCTTGACACTTGGTTGAATTGACTGAGATACCAAAATTAGCCGATCAGTCTCTGATCACACTGAGATTATGATTTAAACCTGCGACAGCTTCGTCAAAATGAAGGCTAACAGTGCTTGCATGCAATTGTAAATCAAAAGCATACAGATGGTAAGAGGGAATCAGAAGTTCCGTAAATATGAATGTAAAGGGAAAATAGCGAAAGAGAAATAATACCGCCTTGTGGAACACCGGCAGTTGGCTCGCGCCAACCGGATAACTCTTGATCGAAATGAACAGCCTGCCAGCGATCACGAAGATAAGAAGTGAACCACTTCTGCATTGAAGATGAGAATCCTAGTCGAGAAAGGACAGCTATGAGAAAATCATGATTAATGGCGTTAAGAGCGTTTGGAAAAATCAATTAAAATGAACAGTGTCATACGGGAATTTTCCTGACCATCCCGGACATCTTTAAAGACTTTGGTGAGAGCAGTAGTAGTACTATGGCCGGGACGGAAACCAGATTGAAAAGGGCAAAGAAGTTTATTAGTATTAATGTATGAAGTGAGTTGTTTGTGGACTGCAGCTTCAATGATCTTAGATAAAAATGGAAGAATAGAGATAGGCCTATATTGACTAAGGGAAACGGGACTATTGTTTTTAGGTTGTGAGTGAGTTAAGGCCTTATGCCAAAGACCAGGAATGGAACCAGATGTAAGTGAGAAATTAAAAATATAAGTCAGAAGAGGCAGTACAGAATCTAGTACTAAGATAATCATAGGACGCCTTATACACTCGAGAGCAATGAATCCGGGTCACTTAAAGAATCCTAAAAAATTCGCAAACTAAGAATGCTAGCTTAATGAAATAAATTCTGATTAATAGACAATTCAACACTTCTTAAATTAAGATATTAAAACTTTTTAGTTATTGTAGTTATATTATAAAAAAATCATATTTGAAAAAGGGAGACTTTCGAAGATGGAACTATGAAATTAGTACATTTGTTTTTGCTTTTGTTTCTAATCTGTCATTTATCATTCATATAAACCATCTCGATAGTGTTTAATATTATCTTATTATCGGTCGCTTACACTTGAAGAATACATCAGAATTTTCACAATGCTGGAAATCAGCCGGAGTCAGCCCAATACAGCCGGGACTGTCGGTGTGTCGCTGTCAATAGTACAAAGAGTTCCCCAACGTTACGAGGAATCTGGTTCTAACCTACACAGACCAGGAACAGGCAGATCCAGGTGTACCACAGCACGAGAAGATCGATATTTGATGAACAACATGCTTCGAAATCGCTTTCTCACAGTATCTGAAATTACAAATCAGTTTCGACGCCTCGGAGGAAGTAACCCAAGCGCATGAACAGTAAGACGACGACTTGCTGAAGCTAACTTGAAACCACTTAGAACTGCAAAACGGCTCTAAACTGGAGCGTGGGCATCATCTTTCAAGACTAAGATATGCCCAGAAACACTTAAATTGGACTATTGATGATTGGTCAAAAGTAATGTTCTCCGACGAATCAAAATGTATGTTCTACAGGCACGATGGAAGACACAGAGTATATAGAAGACCTGGGAAAAGATTCAAGCAAGCATTCATTGAAGAAAACGAAGCCTACTGTGGTGGGTCTGTACCTGTGTGGGCCGGAATATCTTCTGAGAGTCGCATAGAACTGGTGTTCATAAAAAACGGTTCTTTAACTAGCGAAACATATGTGAAAGAAATCTTGAATAAACACGTTGGTCCATTTATGGTCAATTTGGGTGAGGATGCTATTTTTGTGCATGACAATGCCCGACACCGGATTGTGAATGACTACTTTCAAGAGATTAACATTACTCGTATGGAGTGGCCAGCACGCAGCCCGGATATCAACTTGATCGACCATGCTTAGGACGAGCTAGGGAGATGCGTAAAACAAGGAAACCGGAGAAGGTTTTCCAATTACGCTTCGTGAGCTCAAAATTGCTCTCACAGAGGAATGGGAGAATATTTCCCAAAATCGTATAAGAAACTTGGTGAACAGCATGCCGAACCGGGTAAACACAGTAATGGAAGCACGAGGAGGCCATACGAAGTATTAAAATTCAAGAAAATCGTAATGTTCAAAAATGTCAAGTTACCTATTTTTGTTTTAAGGCGAGTTCAGCCAGTTTCTTTTCTTTGTGTTTTTTTGTAAATAAAATGTGATGACTAATAAATTTTCTCACTTTCATTTAAGGAGTATTTAATTGTCTATTAAACACAATTTAGTTCATTAAGCTAGCATTCTTAGTTTGCGAGATTTTGAGGATTCTTTATATCACCCGAATTCATTGCTCTCGAGTGCATTATCGCAGTCTACAGCGTAAGATTTTAAGGATAGAATTATCTATCCATGTAATTTTATAAGAATTTATTGTTAGTTTTGTTAAATAGGACGACTTCACTATTGAATTATATACCTAATTCAATCTGTTATAATAGTGTAATGTGTTTTGAATAAATAAATAAATCTTTCGGATTTCATCCTCAGTTAAGAAATTAAAACAGAATTATGAAGTTCTTGATAAAACCTTGGAAGAAAGAACAGAGATAGTGGAAAGTTTGACATTGGGAAGAATGGGTGAATATAGATGTGAAGTAATTAAGCTCATCTAACGGAAAAGAAGGCTTATGACGAAGTTGTGATTTACCAATGCCAAGAGTACGTAAGATTCCAGGATATTCTTATGAATGTAATGGCGTTTAGCTTTTCTTACCATCTGATTGCAAAGATTTCTGGCAAGCTTAAAAGCATCCCAATGCGCATCTGTACGGCATCTTTTGTAAATACGAAATGCTCTGCCACGCTTTCACATGGTCATACGCACACCAGGTTTCAGGGCGCGGGAGGACGTCTAAATTTAACCTTTTTTAAGGGAGCATGCTTGTCAAACAATTTAAGGACCTCAGAGTTATAGTAGGTGATCATGTCGTTCACCAAAGGCATTTCATGAATAGGAGACCAGTCAAGTAAACACGCATCACGCTTAAGTTCTTCCGGTCCTCTCTCGCAAAGTTCCGAATGGAGATAGTTTTTAGCTTTGATTTTGGAGGCTTCTCCATTTCACATTGTAAGCAATATAAATAAGATCATGTCTAGATAAACATGGGCCAGGGATTTAATCGCATGTAACGACATGATCTGTGGAGGACACAATGATGTGATCAATCCACGAATCGAATGTATTAAGATTATGATGTGAAGGATTAAGGTGTAAAAAGAAAAAGTTTGGCGACGTAATCACAAAGCGAAGCTTCCGAGAAGAGGACGAATTTATTAAATTTTAGTACTGACCGTATTAAACTCACCCATGTCAATATGATGATTATAATCAGTAGCAATGGAATCAATCAACGACTCAAGCTCAGTGAAGTCATCAATGGAAGGAGCGAAGTATACGACTCCGAAAATAACCTTAGTACTCCAAATATAATTTTCCAGGAGCAGATGGTCCATGCAGCCATGACAAGAGGAAAAAGAACATGAAACTTTCGTTGGTATGCGGCTTGACAAGTGGATAGCCACTCCACCACCCTAACCGACGCGATTATTACAAAATAATTCAAAACCTGTTGACAGTACAAGGAGTTCAAGAATGGCTTCAACCAGCTCTCAGGTACAAGCACGGCGTGCACTGTATCCGTACAGAAAGCATCGAGAAAGTCAGTAAGATGACAGGGTATCTCTGTGCATTCATGTTACATGTTCTGAAGCAACTCGCAAAACTGTTAATTTCACGTGAGAGCTCTTGAGTATCTGTGGAATTATCCGCACTCATTTCATCCAGCCTAGTCCACGGGTTCGCTGAAATTAGCATGTTCCTAAACCTAGTAAGAACCAGACAATACCCCTGCCCCGATCAATCGACACCCACTCTAAAGACAGCAAACCCCCGAATGCGTATCGAGAATGCATGGCCGTGGCACTCTTTTGCGCCGTTTCCCATTACTTGCACTTCGTAGCTGCAAGCGGGCGGCAAGTACTGAAATGCTACTACAACTTCTCTTTACTCACCCGCATGCCCTGAAGAAGGCGGCAGCGGCGGGGTTGTGCGTGAGCGCAGTGAGGCGCACGTATCGCATGCGGGTGCCGTGCGCCAGCCTCTCCAGGATCTTGAGCACGCGCTGCCCGAGCCCGCGTCTCCTACCCTCCGCCTCTACTTGCACTTCGTAACTGTAAAAGTTATTGTTACGTATACAAACTATAATTAAATAGGTACACACTTAAAATACAGAATAAATTAATATTTGATTTGCAAAATTGTAATAGAGTACCGATAGATTTTTTTTCGGCAAGTTAGTTATGGTGCTACGTTAAAGGTAACACTTAACTACTTTTCTTCCTTAGTAACTTTTAGTAAATTAATATTTATCGTAATCTTACGCAATTTTGTCCATTTTTTCATCACTTAACGATTCTTTTCAAGTAAATTCTACTTACTTCCATGACCTTCGGATCTGTGACGAGGGCAATGAATCCCAATTCTTATCTATATATTATTAGTATGTATTAGAACGTCAAACTTAAGGTGACGTTACTACCACAACTATAACTTTCAAATCAATATAAACTTTAAACAGTCAAAAAAGGTAAAAAAAAAATTTGCTAATCAAAATTTGAGCAAGTTACTCATCAACATTTAACAGAAATGGGGCACACGACAACCTTATTATAGGTAAACTGCTTAACTAAGACCTCGCCTGCGAGGTACAGCATGTGGGGGAGGACGAGAACGGGGACCGTGAGAGGAGCGAGCGGCGGTTACTTGCAATCTTGACAAGAATGTGCCTGCCGCCCGCACTTCTCGCGGTACCTGTTTTCGTCCTCCACCACACCTTAGCCACCACCCTAGGGCTGTAGGGCACTAGATATTCAATTCTGATACTGAATTTCGAATTTGTAACTCTATATACACATAATAATATTCTCTATCAATTGGAGATACACGTTACAGTGGATTGGATACATTATATTTTTTGTTTAGTTTTTTTTTATATTGTTATATTCTAATTACATGCGAGGTTTCTTTATGATTCTTTAATTAATACTATTCGACTAATTCGGAATCATTATCAAAACTTCTAAAATGTTTTTTAAAAATACACTAGACAGCAAATAAATTTTCACATGCTGCCTCGGTACTCTGATTTGATTTTCTCAAAAGTATAAAACTTATGACTATTGAAGTTATACCTACAGAAAGTGACTTTCATGCTGATTATAATTAACAGGATTTATTGAGATTCGTAATTTTTTAAATTTTTATTAAGAATTTTCCAAAAAAGAGACGTTTTTTTTATTGTGTTAATCGGTAGTAAAAAAAGTAGAGTCTGAAAAACTATGAACATAAATTAAAGAAATAATAAGAAGTGACAGATTATCTTCATTTTATAAAAAAGAACGTTAACGGCAACATTATTCAAAAATTAGCATATCGTTAGCATTATGTTTCTTGCTTGATTATCCATTTACCTTTTATTACCTTTATTTATTATTATCTTATGCTGTAAGTTGATTACACTATAAGTTAACAGTACTTTAGAATAAAATTTTACTTATTTTAATCATTATGAAATGTACCTACTTTCTGTAGGTTAACTTTGATGTAAGTTTTATAATTTTGAGAGAATCGAATTACAGTTCCGAGGTACTAATAGCGGGTGACCGTTTAATTTCGGTCGAGTAAATGTATGCGTAGCGTAATCTAAATAAGAGACTCATTTGTCTTACAGAATGACAACTAAGTGTAGATCTTTACTTGAGTACAGTAAGAGAGGGATGTGCTTTAAATAGCGACATCCCTTTCTAACTATGCTCAAGACTACATCAATCACTGAGAATCTTTCTTCAATATGGGCCTAAGTTTATTATTAACGCACATTTTACTGGGCAATTATATCTTCATGACGTTATTGGGGAATAATGTTCTTCAATTTAAAAGCTAAAACAGCTGTTATAAGGTTTCGATGTCACGATATTAAATCACTTAATATCGGATTCGCAATATCGGAGGTCGAGTTTAAAAGATTCCGATATTGCGATTTTCTGAGGTTTTTGCCCTACATAACCATCCGTCAAATATAATCTATACTTATATTATAAAGAGGAATGATTTCGACCTATTTCAAATGAGGAGCTGGCGAACAAAGCGGTATAATTACGCATCTGGTCAAACTACTTTTTTTTTACAGTCCGGAGGTTACGGGCCCTTTGAATTTGAATCTCTTTAATAATTTCAATCAAAACCGTCCAAAGCAGTGTTAAAATTACAAAGTTTATAAATTTAATACCATGCCAAAAGCTCACTGGAGGTATGTCATTCAGTTTTGTACAGCTTCAGTAAAATTTAATTTTAAATAATTAATCCGTTTTGTTCGCCAGCTCCTCAAATATTCTTTTACAGGTTGAAAGTTTGATAGGTACATTATTTCTGAATGACAAAGGCTTGGCTACATTCTACCGCCTTAAAATAAACTTCGCCCGTGTAAATTCCGCGGCAGATCATTAGTTCTACAATTATACACCCACAAACTTTAACCAACTGTTTTACAATAAATAACAGAAAAAATAAATAAATGTACTCATAAACATGAACTTAATCGTTTATTAGTCGGGGATATTATCGCTCTCATTACACTAAAGTGTGACTGCTGCTTATCACAGTTAGGTCATTCGTGATTCGTGGAATAACTGTGTTTCATTCATCTTTCTACAACAACATTTTGCCGTGCAATCTCTAATGGCCTACGCAGACGAGGGTCCTTTGACAGTGAAGGACAAAAGTCTATGAATCGTGAAAATAAAGTCCGCTGTGTGCGTTGCTGCGCCTAGTCACTGAGTTTTATTTTATTTCGAGGATATCCCCGTACTTTTGTCCGGTTCGGTCTCTCGGTGTCCTCGGTTGTTCGGGGGACTTTTTGTACCCGCCACTTTTACGGCCAGTTTCCATAATTACCCTTCAGTATAAGGATAATCTGGTTCCGTTGCTTGGTAATGACTGTTATTAAAGTCTTAATAACAAAAATATCTTAGCAACAAAGCCCTTCAAAGGAGTTTGATTATTGAAACTGGACGTTAATCCCTCGTGTGCGTTACTCGATACAGTTGTAAGTGATCTATTTTGGCGAACAAAAAAGTTCCTCGTCTGCGCAGGCCATAATGCTTAAGCCACTGAATATAACTTTGTTATTCAAAGAATCCTCAACCCTTGCTCCCTTGCACGAAACGACTAGAAAGAAGATATTAAAGTTAATGAATGATTGAAATGTATACACCTATATTGAAAACCCGAGAGTTTATCGGGAATTTCTGTGGTTGAATACTAATCCAGTTTACGACCTTAGGGCTTTAGAGAAGACTTAACATAACCACACTTACACCCTTCTATACTAGCATCGTATTCTTGACAATATTTCCAAGGTTGGAATAATAGAAGAATTATGGTCGAAAGCTTAATACTGGTATCATTTTACAATTGTTGCACGGGGAACAAAGTACAATATATTGGCGCATGGGGAAAGTATCTCAACAAATAATTCAATATGAATACATATTATTACATTGATTGTCATTGAAAATAAGGTATTATACACCAACATCGATTATATACGAGTCCAGAAACTTCTCTTGACAATAATATTGACACAATAGCCATTCCCATCCCACACACATGACAGACAAGACATTTTAACCGACTGCAAATAATAAAAGGAGGATGTTCCATATACATCGTGTATTTTTGTTGTGTTTGTTCGGTCGGTGATACCCTACAAAAAATTCAGTCATAAATGTAAAAATAAAGCGACTGAACATATAAACATCACATTGAAGTAATTTTAACGTGTATTAACTACAACTTAGTGTCTCTTATCTTTATACTACTTGTAGTCGTATATAAACATTGTATAAACTGTTGTACGACTATTTTATGTGACTGTTACACAACTTTCTGTAGTGTAACCAGTGCTGTCACCTTACAACTTTTACATTGGCATTAATCGTAATAGAGTCGCGAGAACTACCTTTAAGTGACAATCGTGTAAGAGTGAAATATATGAATCTTATACGAGTTTGAGTTAATTTGGACACTTTTATACGACTACTTAATGACTGGATGTCCTATTAGTGAACATTTAAACTACAGCCATTCCTATTTTCTCTGTAAAAATAATTGTACGTCGTTGAAATGAACTGAAAAAAGTGGGCAAATGTAAAAAAATGTACTTTTAAAAGAATAATAAAAAAAAGAATACTATTCTGCACTTCTTACGTCCAATTAAATGAGAGTATTATTTCGAATATACGGCAAGTCAATTGTGATAAAACTGGAAATAGTTCCGCACTAAATTTTATTGTGAACTGAAAAGAATTGAGTTCGGGGCAGAGTGAGTCTAAACAATATGAAGTTGCTAGAAGCGCACAAAGTCGATTTAGTGGTTTAGAGTCGGAAGTAGACAAAGTAAATGAAATATTAGATAAATTAAAATTTATCATTAATTTTACATAAAATGTGTAGGTTTAGTTTAAGTAAAATAAAATGTAAGAAGATAACAAAAATTAACGACTACGAACTTTCACGTTTTAATTCAAAGTCGGTAAATTTTAAGTCTTTTATACAAACACAAACCTAAACACTTCCGAAATAGAAATCAATCATCACCATCTATTATCTGTACGTGAGTAATTTTGTATGAAATCCCATTACAGTTCATCGGCGTAGCCTTAAATTGTAATAAGTTTTGATAGAGTATACCAATTTAAATGAAATAAAGATAAAATATTTCCCTGAGATACACTCAATAAATATATTTCCAGTTCATTGCATTAAAAACACACAATATATAAAATTTAATTTTCCGGATTTACAAAGTTTCCACTCATGAAATATTTTTACATCAAAATCCCATGTAAAAGTTGTGATGAACACTGCAATTAGATAAAACGCCGTTAAGAAACATCAAAACTCGACGAAAAGTGGATATCACGACATCTATACGATCACTACACGATCACTTAGCGACTTAATACGACTGCTTTGTGACTCTATAATGACAATGATTGGGCCTTTTCTCGGTCGTATTAACGTCATAGCGACGTATTTGCGACCAGCGTACGAAACCAAAAGTTATTATCGGCACGTTGTGGCGACCGATGAAATGTTTGTTGGGTATTCTCGTGAATAGTCAGGGTCTCAATATGACTTACGACTTGCTACGCAATGCGCATCCATGACAAGTCGCTGGAATGGCCAGCGTGGCCCGACGCTTGACAATGCTTTATTTTGGAGTGCATATGGTGTTGGTCTCATAAACAGATGACCTTTACAGCGTCAACGGATTAGAAGCAGCGAGATCCTTAGCGGGGTGGTTTTCTAAGCGGAGGGAAAAAGGGAGTCGCTTCACCGTCGTAGAGTCACTAGGCCACTCGAGTCTGAGAGGGATGTCGGCTTAACTAACTAGAAGGCATCTTTGGAACTCGGACCTTGGCTCTAGTTGGCCTTTGTCGTTGAGGAGGGGAAACTTGACACGCGTACATCGCGTAAGTATGACACTAGTAGCGACAGGCGTGCGATGATAAGTTTACCATTTGCTCGCACCGAGACATTTGTAACAACATCGCGCGATGTTGTTTCTTGGTCTCATTCGTGGAGGTCGCTGATTGAAAAAATCGACATCTAAGCTATTAGTGTTTGTTAGAAATGATAATGAGGTAACAGGAGAACTCCTTGTTAATTAACGTCCCTGAGTCGGCAAAAGCAATATTTCATAAAAGATGATTAACAGCCTACATTAGGATTTCGTGACTTAGATAAATAATCAACCCACTCAAACGGGAGAAATTAGTTATCAACCCCTTTTTTGACCATCTTCTTGACGTACTTTTAATTGATATAACAATTTATTACTTCACATGATCAAAGGAATGGTATTTGGTAAAATACAATATTTATATTAAAAGGTCAGTGAACTATCCCTACATGTTGGCAACATAATCGACCACAAAGCACATGGAACCAGAGTGACTAGATGCGTAGGTAGGAAACAGTCCCGATAACGCGTTACTGACATACATGACCCCAACATCTCGAAAAAAATCGGATGCGATGAGCGACGGCGGCGGCGGCTGTTCGGTCGGCACAATGTGACTGTCATCAAACTACAATAAAAAACGTTGGATAAATATTAATTGGCTCTTATAATGCGTAAACAATCTTTGCCTGATGCATTGGTGTAACTGTATATTTGTAGGTTTATTTTAATATATTATATTTATTTTTATATCTCACAACTTCCTCTAGGTATTATATTTTAAGCACCAAACTACATGATCTATAAATAACACCTCTAGGCAGCTAGGTTTAACCCCTTATGTTTTTTCTTGGCAATAAGTGCATAATATCCATTTCCAAAATCAGCAAAATCGGTTAAGATTTCTGCTTTCGAAATTTTTATACAAAAGTCTGAAATCTCATTTCTGACTGTAGTTAACTGCAATGTGAATAGGTGGCGCTGCTTGGCTGCTACAGATATACTAGGAAAAAATCGATCTCGATAGCATAGCTTGCTTGATAGTTAAGTGTATTTGTTCTAACAGTTAAGGACGCTGGTTCGATACCTGTTTCTTTTTGAATAAATTTAGCACAATTACACTTTTAGACTTACATACTTTAAATTTTAAAATCTATATGAAAAGTATGCTTTAAGAGCATTGCAGTAAGAAAAGACATCCAACGAATAGGTATTGGCAATTTAACTGTATCTGTTATTTAATCGTAAATAGTAACGAAATTCATTTAATAGTTAATCACATGTATATTGTCAATGGAAACCTGTCAACTTGTGTTAAGGATGAACTTTAAAAATTAATAACTTGGTAGAATAATATCATTAGGTAAATTAACCAATACCTAGACTGTTAGGAGACTACAATTCCTTAACCTAATATTTTGTATCTAATTATATAGTAATAAATATTGACTATTGAATTAATGTTATTAAAATATAATAACTAGAGGAAAATAACAGCTATATTTTTTTGATATTAACTAAAACAATATACAAGGCGAGACAAAAACACAGTGAATGAACTTGGACTTAAAGGTAATATAAACCTCAATCCATAAGTGCTAATGACAACAGTTTTTTTTAATGTAATTCATGAAAGGTAGTTTAAAAAATAAATCAACCTCACAAATCAACACCAAACTATGTGAATGCGAACCTGTATATTTGATTGTTGTTGATGATTGTTTAAATCAGCAAGGCGAAAGACATGCTGTACTCTTCATTTCCTGTTGATCAAGTTACTGTCGGAAGCAAAAACAACAGTATTCAAAAGACCTTTAATTTTATTCCATCACAATATTAGCCAGCTTGAAAATATTTTAAAATTATTAAATTTTTTACTTAAATATTTTTTCACGTATAAGTATACACATACATTGTAAAGTGTATGAAGGAACAAAATACTTTTTTTGTATAAAAATGTTTTTGACACCACTCACTTCACTTCTACTTTTCCCGTAGAGCAGCAAACACTATTCAATAAAATATACTGAACAGGTAGCGCATGTTCGACTGAATTGACGCTTAATAAAATCCCACAGTGCACTGAATGCCGAGAAAGTTGATCACTAAACACATCGGTGGTTGACTGAAGAAAGTTTATCATCTTAGGCGGATTGTTGAGAGGGTGATGTCATGTGTTATCGGTTAGAGGAGGCGTTTTGCGACGAGTGGCGCGCGGACCGCCACAAACAGACGCAAGCTGAGCCAAGATGCAGGTGCGGCTATGGGTGGCGCTTTTCTCCGTGCTGGCGGCGGCACAGGCCGCGAGGATCCTGGTAGTTCTCCCAACTAACACAAGGAGCCACTACGCTATGTATGGGAAGCTAGTAGAAGCGCTAACGAAGAAACGACACCATCTCACCGTCATAAGCCATTTTCCCATGGTGAGTTTTTTAATTAAATATTTTTCATATTTTCTTCTGCATTAAATTAAATTGTTAAAATTTCTGTTATGACGTGATGCTTAAAATATATTTTCTTCTACTTGTTATAAAAATAAAAAGAAGGATTTTAAGTAAAATATAAATTAGTTAATTGTTCCAATTAAAAGATTTTTCTCGAATGTAAGGATGTTGACAACTTTTAGGATAAAGACATAGTTATATATAAATTATAATTTATTTTTTAAAAAGCCGTGCGTATCTTTATATATACTTATGATAAAAAAGAAAGAAAATTAAAGAGGAAATATATGAAAGCTCAGAACGTGAAATATTTTTATTACTTAAGTCAGTGATACTATGAATTTAATAAAAGGATATTTTAATTGGTATTGATCTATTTTTTACTATAAGATTACATTATTTATGTACATTGACAAAACAAGTTAACATCATAAAAACGAGTAACATACACAATTACTTATTTCTTAGGTTTTCACGCACATCACTCATTAAATAAAACTAGCTTTACGGGTTAATGCACGAAACTTTATTTATTTATTGACGTTTCGTAGCCTTTTTCGAAGCTAGCTCGACAATTAATTAAATAAAAGTTTGATTCTGACGACGTAGCTTGTAAAGGCTACGAAAAGTCAATAAATAAATAAAGTTTCGTGCAATAACCCGTAAAAACTAGTTTTATTTAATACACAATTACTTTTAGTCTTATTTTATTTAGAAGTGCATAATTGCAATAACTTTAGTAAACCAATATTATGCTAGAGAAAAAGTTTATTGTATTTGATAGGTAGGTTAAGTTTATCGTACAATGAGCGATGACGAATCTCATTGAGATGTTTGTTACTAACTATGGTTGTGAGCAAAACAAATGACAAATATCCAAAGGGAAATTAATCTACCTTTGTGGGGTATTTTTCCACATATGATTTCTTTATTCTGATTGGAATTTTATGATTGTATTATCAAAAAGAGGGAGTTCTGTTTTTAATCTTTATTTAACATTGATAGTGTAGGGGGGTGGGAGCGTAGGGGTTTTGTCTAAAGATTTGTCACCCCAGTCCAAGAGGGAGTTAAGGTTTAACAGATGAACACGTTTTGAGCATTCTTTGCGCATGCATATTGTGTGATATTTATTATATGAAATTGTTTGGTTGAATCGAACTGTGTGAGACTAAAATTCGGTTACGTACTCTTAATGTAACTTCAAAATTTTGAAAGAAGTAACTTTTTTTTTTTTATGCTTTTTGATTAATTTATAATAAATAAATTGTTCAATACAGATTAGGTAGGTATAAATGTTAATAATATGACATTTTCAATAATTCGCGAATTGTTAAAGACGAATCTTGAAATAAAACTACTTAATTTTCAAACGAAAATACACGAAGTTAACACGAAGGACAACATTTAAAATACAAAACCTGTTAAGGGCAAGCGAAAAGCCAATTAAAAATGTTTTTCATGCTGTGAAATCTTAGTTTTATCCACGTATTTTCAACTTTACATACAACACCCGGCGTTGCTCGATGAAAGAGCGCAAGCCAAAATACTAACGCACTTATATTTTAAAAATCTCACACGAAAAGATGTAATAATATTGAGATATAGCCTGCATACAGATGTCCGGATGAAGAGCGAGGGTTTACCTAGTAATAGGATTCAGCTGTCACCCTGTGGTTATGAAGCCCTAACATTGGCAGGTGTCGATATTGCTATAAAGCCAATAAAAAAAACAGGTTTGGCAAACGATGACGACATGAAAGTCAAGGTTTGCTTAGAAGCTAAAATGGATAATATTTCTTATATTCAAAATAATTATTGTTAATAATATCACAATGTAGATATAGAACAGTCACCCCGCTGTCTGCACTGCCTTATCTTCAGGCACGCGATTCTGTCTAAGTACGTTTAAATAAATCGACGCAGTCACATTGACTGTGGGCTTGTTTTTGAAGTTATACTTCTTTAGGCGCGTTATGAAAAAATGATGGGAGTGAAATTTTAAGTAATGATGTAATCGATAACCGCAATATGTATATATTTAAACTATTTTGTTATACTTATTTTTTTTTTTTCAGAAAAATGCACCGCCTAACCTTGAAGAAATAAGTCTCGCTGGGACAATACCAGATATAACGAACAACCTCACTAAGCAACATTACTCTTGGAAGCCAGACATAGTCAGGAACTTAGAAAGCATCATGACTGAATGCGTACATGCCTGCGACGTCGTCTCTAAAATACCTGCTGTGAAGGCACTGGTAAATTCGACAGCAGCGTTTGACTTAGTAATAGTTGAAATCTTCGGAAGCGAATGTTTCCTTCCTTTAGGACAAAGATTTCAAGCTCCAGTCGTTGGGCTTTTATCAAGTGTGCCTCTCCCTTGGCTTAACGAACAACTGGGCAATCCAGATGCCACAGCTTATGTGCCAGCTTACATGACAGGCTTTGGACAACACATGACCCTATGGGAGAGATTCTCCAACACGCTTTCTGTGATCGGGGCGAAGATTTTGTATAAATACAAGTCCCAGCTGCCTTCTCAAGTTAGTAAATTGAACTTATTTCGAAATATTAAATACTTAATAATATTTACTTATTACACTAAATAATATTTACACATTGGCTACAACACATTCGTTTTTATTTCAGGCGATAGCTGATAGACTATTTGGGCTCGGAAATAAGTTGGAGAGTTTAGCACAAAATTATAGTTTAGTTATATCCAACAGCCACTTCAGCATTAACGAAGTTCGTCCCGTGGTTCCAGGCTTTATAGAAGTTGGCGGGTTGCACTTAGACGAAACTCAAAAACTTAGCAGAGTAAGTTGTATAAAAAATTATAAGATTATAGTTGCTAATATAAATCATTTGTTGCAAATTTAAATAAACAATATCTTATCCTCCATTCGTGCATGCGCTTTAGTTGCGTATCGTGTGCGAGTCATTGGGTCATCATAGTATCTGATACATGACACAATAAAAGTCACCATATTTTATACCTATTTATATAACCTTAATACATAATCAATCATCTGCGCCGTGCCAGTCTAACAAACTTCATAATGAAGTGTGGTGGAGGATAAATTACTATAATATTATAGTATATAATTATTATATATAGTACATATATATATATCTGTAATAATTAATACTATATATATATTAATATGGATATATATAGTATTAATTATTACAAATTACTAGCTGACCCAGCGAACTTCGTAGGTACCGTTAAAAATAGGGGCTGGTGGTAGAAGGGTGAAAATTTAGGGCTGTATGTATTTTTTGATGCCTCATAATAAAAGAATAAAATTTTGCCAAAAAAATAAAAATAAATGTTAGGGGTGGACAGCCCTTATTACTTAGGGGTATGAAAAATAGATAGTAGCCGATTCTCAGACCTACTGAATAGGCATATAAAATTTTGATAAAAATCAGTCAAGCCGTTTCGGAGGAGTATGGTAACTAACGTTGTGACACGATAATTTTATATATAAGAGGAATGATGGAAGATTAAAACAGCAGGTCTCAGTAACATGGGGTCTAAGTTGCTTATTACTATAAGTAAAACAAATAGCAAACAGTCATTTTACTACATAAGTTATGAAACAATTCGAGCCCTTACCGCCAAATTATCGTAAGCGACACTCGCCAAATTATCGTAAGCGACACCTTTGTCGAAATGCGTTTTTTGTGGAAACTAATATTTTAAACCGTAACGGACCCATCTCTGTTGATATTTCCCTCCAAAAGAACACCGTTATAATAGAGGGAAGAATAGAGGGAAATATCAACAGAGATGGGTCCGTTACGGTTTAAAATATTAGTTTCCACAAAAAACGCATTTCGACAAAAGTGTCGCTTACGATAATTTGGCGAGTGTCGCTTACGATAATTTGGCGGTAAGGGCTCGAATTATCTTACCGGGCATATAAAATTTGGTCAATCAGCTTTACTAAATTTATAAATGCGAAAGTCAGTTTGATTATTACTTAGTAGTGCACTTTTACGTCTTCATAACTGAATAGATTATGCTTAATTTTGGTTAAGAGATAGACGGGACCCTGGAGACAGTCTTACGCTTCTTTTTGTCGTAAAAATAAAACTGAACTAACCCATTTACTCCCTGTAAATGGGTGAAAGACGAAGACGTGTCCATGGCCGATAATGACTACATACCATCAGGTTGGACTGCCAGCTCGTTTGCACGTATAAACATAAAAAAACGCGTCTATCCGCTAGTTAATTAAAAATGTTCAAAACATTTTAACCTGGAATAAAATACTCGTTTATTTTTCTCCCACAATTGAATGGATTTTCAAAGAGCAGTCGTAGACAAAGTTAATAAAAATACCAATTTGCTTATCAGAATAAGATAGTAGTTACATGAAGATAGGCGAAATTTATGGATGCTGACTCCATTATGTCGTGTGTGGTTTGACCTGTTCTAGACTATTAACCCATATCAATGTACAATAAGAGGTTCCGCCTATCAGACCGACCCAGGACCTTTAGGCCCTTTGGAACTTCAGATAATGTCGTGTGAATGATTGATTATTGCCAAATTACAAACGATTTTCTCGTTCAGTTCCTCCAATTGAGTAAACAATAACGACCTACTTCTTCATTATTTGCTATTATTCAATTTTATGATAATTGATGAACGGAAGAACAACTAGAGAAAATTAAGAGTACGGGAAAATAGTGTCTAAAAAATTTAAATAACTTTTGCCATTACAGGAATTGAAATCTCTTCTGGATGCATCACACGAAGGAGTGATTTATTGGAGTTTTGGATCAATGTCACGAATAGAAACCATACCGAGCGAGAAATTGGCGCAGATCTTCGAAGCAATATCTGAACTCAGCCAGACGGTGCTCGTGAAAATGGATCGTAAAAGGCTTGCGGCAAATTTGACTGTGCCTGATAATGTATACACTATGGATTGGATACCACAGTACGCTACACTATGTAAGTTTGAAAGGAATATTTGCCAAACGTTGCGGACAAAGCTTAATTACGTTTACTGTAACTAAAAGACCTTTTATGTAGTTGTCAGTTATATTAAAACTAGCAAACCAGTGAACCAAATGTTCACCAAAACCTGATTTAAAAAAAAAATGTATTTAATTAATTGAGAACTTCGGAGATTTTGTGTGGTTTCGTTTGAAATTCGTGATTTCTCGAAAACCGGAAGTGCTACGTTACTCAAATCCGGTTTGTAGTCTTATCAGACTATTCTTAACTTATAACTTAAATATTCTCTTTATCTATCTCTTACGGTTTGGCCGCTGAAACAGCACCACAGACGGACGGACTTGTCTAATAGATAAGAGATTTTAAAGTGAATTTATAAACGAATCTTATTTGTTGCTGTGTTGCTTGTGTTTAATAGGGGTGATGACGGGGTAAAGTGAACGAAATTCTACTTAGTTCTTCTTCTAAATTAACAGAAAATAATACAAATATTTTTTCTCTAGTCAATCAAACTAAAAATCACAAACATAAAGCGCATCAAAGATGATGGGAGTGACGCTCGTGACGTCACTTCTATGTAAAAATCGTACCAAGACATGACGCCATGCAACATTTCAAATCAATATATTATATCTGTAATGTTGTGATTATGTGACAAAATAAAAATATGTGTCCAATACCTTCGAATAATCTACCTGATAGACGAAGTAAAAGAAGTTAGTCATCAGCCCTATTATGTGGCCAGATTGAATATTACATCTCGCTGCTTAAATTGCAATTTTATTTCATTTTATCTTTGCAGGTCATCCTAATGTGAAATTGTTCGTCTCCCACGGAGGTTTATTGGGAACTCAAGAGGCAGTGGCGTGCGGGGTGCCGATGTTGACAGTACCTCTATACGCTGACCAGGCGCTGAACGCACGCTCAATGAGCGACCGAGGCGTGTCCAGGACCGTCCTGTTGAGAAACACTAGCAAACTCACATGGAGAGAGGCCCTTCACGACTTGCTGACGAATATGAAGTAAGACTTGAACAGGAATATTTAAGATACAATAATGCTAGAGCCACATTATCGTATCTATCCATCGTACTATCTCTATATTCTCTAACCGCTCTCCCAAACCTGCGCGACGAAGCTTTGGCTACTTATTGCACTAAAATTAGCGTCCAAATCTGGCCCTGCGAATTATAGCACGATAGTGTAGCCGTAGCATAAGACCTAGTGAATGGTACAATAAGATTGGGTTTATATAGCTAATTACTGTATTGCAGTAGAAGAGTACCGATTCATTTGAGTTTAAATAAAGCCCTGTTATACCTATTTCCTAGACGGGTGATCTCTACATGCTAGGGTACAAACTGCTAAAACTCCTCTGTTCTGCCTGTCTGAAAATTTTCATGAAATCGTTGTGATTCTGACATCGAACTTTGCTTTAGTTGACAGGTATTGTGTAACTTTTGATAAATATCTCTTAGTTATGTTAGATGCTGTAATAATGTTTATGTAAATCAAACATTGCCATCAAGAAAATAATATCTAAAACATATACTAAACAATGTTATCAACCAATAGTGTTGATAAAAGTAATATCTTCATTATAGTTTCATTGAACTCAGCATATTTTTTCCAGTAAAGATTAATTGACAACCAGAATATTTTTTTAATTAATCATAATAAGAATATACTGATATCAGTCAGTCAGTCTGTGTAACGGCAGCGGCAGAATCTTGGCCTACTGTTCTAAAAGGACTTCAATGATTTGTACTTGCTCGTTTACCAACAAAGCAAAGGATGGAAAAAAGATACAACAATGTAAAAATAAAACTAACGAGATCATAGTGAAGTTTTTATTTTTTAAGCATTTTACTGCTAGATGTTTAAATCTAAAGAAAAGTTATTAAATTATTGTTAATTGTGGGTTACCTACAATGCGAAGAGATGGCGCTGCCTTGCAGCCTAAGGCTAGGAAAAATTCGACACGGCCGTCAGGGCCGTGGTAGCATAATGGTTAATGCATTCGCCCGGATAGCGAAGGGTGCGGGTTCGAGTCCCGTCTGCTGCCTGGTACGCGGTGAATTTTTTCTAGTAAAGTTTTCTTAAGATTTTACGAGATCACTTCAGTGATCTGAAACGGTAATCTCAACTGACCAGCTTATTTGCAAGTATATGTATAAGCAATATTATTTGTCTGTCTACCCCTCTAGGATACAGGTACAACGTTATGGTGGTTGCCATTGTTTACATTTTAATCACATAAAAAAGTTTTTAGAAACAAAGCTGATACAAATTTATTACATTTGCAGGTACAAAGAAAACATGTTGAAGTTAAGAGAAGTATTTCTCGATAGGCCTATGCCACCTTTGGAGACAGGCATCTACTGGATCGAGTACGTCCTGCGACATAAAGGCGCGCCTCATCTCAAGTCCCCAGCACTCGATTTAACACTGCCACAATATCTCCTACTAGACGTAGCTGTTCTCAGCATAGCTATAGTTGTTATGACCACCTATATACTCCACATACTTTTCAGATATCTTTGCACAAGGTGTATTAAATGGTGCCCTAATGAAAATCTCCTATCCGAAAAAAGGATTAGAAATTTTAGTGTATTCTTATGTTTACTATGGAGGTATAAACCAAAAGCTCAATGATATTTTGGTCTTAAGTAACTGTATTATATAGATGTAAATAACTATGTTTAAGGTATTTATAATAATATAACATTTCTATTTAAATGAATTTTCTTTTAAGATTAAAGATAGGTTAGTTAATTTGTTAATATAGACTTTACCAGGAATCAACTTACCAGTATAAGACAGGTTCTCCAAAATCTAAATCAAATCTGAAGTGAGAGAATGCCAGCGGTGAACCATTCTTGGCTTTGGCAATTAAATAAAAGGCATTATCATCTGTCATCTCTTCTACTTTTTTTTCTTTATTCCAACCCCAAGCACAAGTTTCATATCTGAAAATAAAATCAACACACATAAACCGCAGATATAAATTTCCTTGGTCTAACTTCTGTTAGAGAAATTGCACTAAAGGCAAATTAAAATAATACTTTTTATCAACAATTTACATTCCTTGCATTTAAAGCACTCTTATTAGAATCCCTTAAACAATTAGCAAAGCCCCATGATATATCACATGAATACAACAGAGTAACATTGTCAATGAAGTAATATTTAGGCAGTATAACTCAGAAATATCAGATTAGGCAGTAAATTCACCAGAGAATACTTATTTTTTTATCGATTAATTATTGATAGTTATATATTTTTTTATTGATACTTAAATAATAATAAGTAAAAATATAAATGCTAATAGTGACATATATAAGCCTAAAGATAAAATAATATTTCAAGAGATTAAATATCTGGGAGTTATAACAAACAATTCAAAAGGAGGGATGATCTATAAAAAAAATAAGGGGTTTTTTTTTACTGAAGGTCACACCTAGAGTTGCTAACCGTACTCCAGTATTGTACTCTATAATCATGTAGGCATACTCTATAATACAACTAGATGCTAAAATACTGTTTTTTACATAATGTTTGTTATACCATTGTATTGTACTAGTCAATACAGATCTTTTAAAAGCAATGAAAATTTATTTTTTTACTGTAAACAGTACTAAAAAAATACCAGATTAGTTTTATTCATGGTATTCATTTTTTATTAATCCGTACTCTTTATTTACCTTCATCAAAATCTATATTTCTTCTAATAAAAGTTGGCAACCTTTGGAATTTTCTTAAAAAGGCAAAATGGACTGATTGCAAATATAAAATAATAGTAAATGACAACATATGTGATTACTTTTACTATTTAATTAGTCTTCCTAATACCCAGGTAAAATAATAATATAATGTGTTTAACATTTCTGCAAAAACACCCCTAGTGTAATATGCTATGCCTAATGCTTGCAACTTACAATTTTTTCATGTTCCTTTCAGTCAAATCAATGGCCCATTGTAATATGTTTTTGTCAAGATCTGTAACTTTTTGTATATACATATCCACTTCAAGTTCTTTGTTCCGATATATGAGTAACTCCTTGCAGTATGTAGCTAAGTCTGTAAGTTTGTTAGCCAATGTCACATAGGTCATGCCATCAGCTATACGCCGTTGTTCCAATTTCCTTGCTTGGCGTTTTTCTTTGCTTTTGCTAGTTGAAGCAGCAGACTTTTTCTAGAAATAAAGTATGAACAAATGGTTAAGTATTCCCAAAAAAAGATAATTATATATAAAGTTTTGAAATACCAACTCTTTGCTTCTACATAAAATAAATATGTAATTAAATTAATTTATTATTATGGTCTTCATGACCTATGTCAATTAAAATAATTGTAACTAAACTGACAGAAATGATGTTTCTTAACTTAAATAGGCCTTCCCCATTATCATTCCTGTTTGCCCTACTATAAATAATAAATAAATATAGGTTGTATGTTGTATAGGTTATTTTTTACTCAATAATAAACTTTATTTTCTCTCCACAATCTTATACATGCTTCATGAGTAACAGATTATAAAACTTAGGTCTAAGATTGTGAAAGACTGGTGACCAAACTAAGCTGACGCCTGTGTCTCAGTGTACCAGCCTCTCCCCGCTTAAGAAAGTGTTAGGTACATAAGCAAAAAAAGGAGAACAACGATAAAATCTAAAATCACATTTATATTATTTTGCATGATATGGTATATGGTAGTGCTAGTTGTGAGAATGGTGTTTATATGCGTGTGTGAAGTGTGTGTGTGTGTGTTTATATGCATGTATGAGGCGTGTGTGTGCGTATGTGTGTGTGTTAGTGTGCGTGTGTGGAGGGGGCGTGTGGGACTGGCTCGTAATTCAAGAATTCATAAGGCTTTCTGTTTCTAAATAGTTTAGGTTTTGCAGGAAATTGGTGACTTTCTTCTTGCAGCTGAATGAATCTGGTGCGTAAATGTTTTGACAATTTTCGATTTAGTTTGTTGTAGAGAAATGGCCCAAGAAAACTATAGAAACGATTAGAGAAAGAGGTGTTAAGTTTATGAGATACTTAAACAGGCGTCGTGCTGTACGCGTAGTTATTGTTACAGGTATTCGATCTTTATGCTTTTTTAGAACAGTACACAGGATAAACAGTTGTCTTACAGTGAGCACTTGCGTGATTTGATATAACTCAAATGTGGGAAAGAGAATTGGCTTGAACATACACACTTTCAGTATAGCTCTTTGAGCAGTGTTAGAGAAAAAATGGTTACAAAAAGTGAATTTACACTACGCTATTTTATAATTTATAATAGTTTATTACATATTACAATATATCTCTCGCTCGTTCGAGCGCGCGCAGCGAACGGACGTGTGCAATATTTACAGAAACATAATAAGAAATCTCTGTATCAGTGCAAGGGAAATAAATGCTTAGCAAGTCATTAATACGATTTAAATTTTTTACGTTATCAATGGTTTATAAGTGAGTTTCTTATTTTGTGCAAGTTGTAACTTTATCGTGAAAGTGGCATAGTTTCTCATACATGTCAACCAATCTTCTGAATAATAACGATGCACAGAACACCCCCTAATACCACTTTCATAAGCGAAATAATGAAGAGGAACGTATAAAGTTAGTACTATGAACGTATGATGAAAAAGAAAGCGGAAGGATCGTAGTCATGTTCATGATCTGAAGCAAGATCTATTGGATTTTCGTGCAGTTATGATGATTTTTTTTCCTAGAATTTGGTAAGACACAAAACGATTATCTTACTAAGATACGCCAAGAAGTATCGGATATGAGAAGAAATTAAAACAGTATTAAATCAGTATCAGAGAATTTAACACAGAACACAAATAAAATAACCAATGATACAGGAAATTAAATCGGAATATGCTAAAACAAAAGAAAACATAGTTTTCGAAATAGACCTCTTTCAATAAGAGACAGACAAAATAGCAGCATTTTCCAGATTCGCTTATTTGAAATAACGAAAGCTTATTATCGGAACTTAAAGACCGCAATAAGCTAGAAAAAAAATATTATAATGGTGGGTATTCCGGAAAAAAAGATTAAAATTATTCCACTAAAACTTAAATTTATTCATATTCACATGATGATGAAATGGTGATGAGGACCCTAGAATTGTTACATGGAAACTGTTCCAAACCAATTAAATGCATTAGGTTGGGCAAAAATAACTCCAGTAAAGACCAGGCCGTAAAGCTATGTTTTGTTAATACCGAAATACCAAAGCAGTTATAATGTAACATCAAAACTGCCAGATAATATTAAATTGTACTCCGATAAAACTCCTTTGCAGAAAACGTACCTGCAATCTGTCAAGGAAGAATTAAAACGTCGGGAAGTAAATGGAGACAATAATTTAATCATAAAATATGTCAAGTTATACCGCAAAAAAAAAAACTAAACAACGCACAACTTCGTAGCATTGCAAATAATAGTGATCAATCCAAAAATACAAATTATTAAATCGTGAATAAATATCAAGCCTTAAATGAAGTTTCAAAGGTTATAGATAACCTCGATAGTAGCTCAAGTACGGAGATCGACAGAGTAAGTACAAAAGCAATAAAATGCATAAAAGAAATAATACTCAAAAATCTAACTGGCTGCATTGATAAGTGCCTGTCAGAAGGCACCTTTCCCGACTCGCTAAAAATTACAAAAGTGAGCCCAATTTTCAAATCAGACACTAAAACCGATCCCGGAAACTACAGAACGATATCGCTGCTTCCAGTTATATATATATATATATTTTACAAATTTAACAACCGTTTATTTTAATATCTCAATCTCAAAAACTTCTTTACCGAATGCCAATATGGCTTTCATCCAAAATAATGTACTCTTTCGGTAGTAGTAGACTTAATTAGCAAAATCAAAACAAGTATAAACAAAAACTCATTGCTTTAGGAGTATTTATAGATTTTAAAGAAGCTTTCGACGCATTAAGTCATCCAAAATTAATTCATAAACTAAACAACATAGGTTTATCAGGTTCTGCTCTTAAAATATTACAATCATATCGTAAATTAATACATAATTAAATAAAACTAGTTTTTACGGGTTAATGCACGAAACTTTATTTATTTATTGACGTGCTGAAGCGTGCTTCAATCAATACCATAATAATAATAAAGAAGATCAACCAGTTTCTACGACCGGTCAAGTGAAATATACCCTTTCAAGTTGCTGGTGTCTACAAACTTGAATGCGACTGTGGGCTCTCCTACATCGGGCAAACAAAGAGGAGTATAGGGACTCGGGTAAAACAACATATCGCAGATATGAAACATAGGCGCGAAAATAAGTCTGCAGTGCGTGAACATGCATTAGGGGGACCAAACCATTACATTAGATTTGATAAACCACAGATCCTTGCAGCTGAGCGGCGGTTCGTTCCTCGAATGATGCGCGAGGCTATTGAGATTAAAAAATATCCAAATTTCAATAGGGAAGATGGTTGGTATATACCACCAGCTTGGGAACCTATTATACAGGAGATAAAATCCCAACCCCGAGCACACACTGCAAGACCATCAGATACTATTAGTTCTTTTTGTTTGCATAAGTTAACATAAGAAGGAGATAGAAAGCCTCTCTTGAGTTTGTTTCGCCGGTTCTTCTCAGAAAGGTCTCCCAATTTTGGAACCGGTGGTAGTTTACGGTAGTTAGGGTCAAATAAATAAACTCAAAATTACAAAAAAGAATTTAAATAAAATACTTTATTAAGTAAATTTAATAATAAATTCATACATAGACAATAAAACTTTAAAAATCGAACAATGAAATAGCCGAACGCTCAATAAAAGTCTTTCGAAGGTAGCTCGACAAATTAAATAAAAGTTTAATTCTGACGACGTAGCCTGTAAAGGCTACGAAACGTCAATAAATAAATAAAGTTTCGTGCATTAACCCGTAAAAACTAGTTTTATTTAATGAGTGATGTGCGTGAAAACCTAAGAAACAAATATAATACATAATTAATTGTAAATAGGTCTCAAATCGTGAAAATAGGTCGTTTCTCAAGTAGTCCTCAATAGTTACCTTTGGAATTCCACAGGGTTCAATTTTAGGACCTTTATTTTTCCTTATTTACTTAAATGAGTCTATCTGGTGACCTAACTTTGTATGCAGATGATACGTGCCTTCTTTATTTCGGTAATAATGTACATGACCTCATTGCCAAGGCACAAGGGGATATTGACAAGCGCCATATGTGGTACTTACATTATCTCTTGACTATAAATATAACAAAAAAGTAATTTATGACTTTTTCAGCAAAAAAATAAAAAATGTAGTTACGCTCCATTCACTACTAACATTTTCCAATCCACCGATTACACTACATTACATTGATGATAAGTTACCGTGGAAACCACATATCGTGGATGTAGGAAAAATGTTGAGACCAATATTACAATCATTACGAAAAAATATCATATTGTATAACACAAAAGGCTTGTGTTGTCTATAATGCATTAGTAAGATCAAATCTATAATATTTGATCAAGATCTGGGGACCGGCTTGAAAGACCACATTGAAAGATTAACAAATCTTACAAAATAAAATTATAAAAGTTTTGTTTTACCTGAATTTCTGTACAAACACAAAAGTAATATATATAAAAAAAAACTAGATTATTTAATATTGAACAACTCTTCAAGTACAACATATGTATCTTAATAAAAAAATATAACAAAAACAATACACACAAATATAAATATTCCACAAAAAGATAGAAAATTTAAGAAATAAGAACAAACTATGTCTGCCTTTGCCAAGGACAGTTAATTGTGGTAGAAGAAACATAACTTTTGAAGGTATCAACTTTTACAATAAATTGCCTGAAGAGAATACAAATTCCGAAAACGTAAAAAAATATAAAAATATACTAAAAATGCTTGTACTGAGTGAGCAGTAAATTTAAATGTATTTGTATTTAAGGATAGGTTTATTTTTTATTTTGGTCAGTTTTTTGTGTATATATATTTACGCTTTTTCTTCATAATTTATGTGCATACAAGAAGATGATTGGGGTTGGGACTGGATCTGTCCATATAAATAAAAAAGAAATCGCTAAAATGCTACTGTGTGCTAAAAAAATTCTAGTTCTAATACTGTAGAGGTTAGTTTAATTTTTCTTTCTTTTGTTGTGTTCGTTTTTATCAAGAAAAGATTTTTATGTAAAACAAAGTTCAAAAATTTTATAAATAAATATTATTTCTTACGCGTTTCAACGCATAAGAAATAATATTAGTTGCTTATGCAGTTCACTGCATAAGCAACTCCACATTTTTCATAATGCTGTGTATTGAGTGACTCTTTGTACCTACCCACTTGGTCACTTATCCCTCTATTACCCTGTAAAAATTGCGTGTTTTCTTTGTGAAGGGTGACAGTAGCAAAATAATTATTTTGTCATTCACTCTTAAATATGCATGCGTTTAGTTATTAGTTTTAGTTATATATCTCATGTCAAGTGAACTGTCTGTATAAGTTTGTATGATATGAAAATTCTTTAAACCTAATTTATAGAAATTAAATTAAAACAACTGAAAAACTACTTAATGCCTAAAATGTCACCCTCAGTGCCGCCATCAGAAATGGTGCCCAATAGACTGGCAACATTGCCTTGCATTGAATTGCAAGCCTGATTTATTTACCAAGATAGCTGTAAGTCTTTTGATCGCCAGCAACTTTTGTGAGACACTTTGATACTTCCTTAATAAAGAAACGAATGCTTGGACCCCATGGGCCCATAGTCTCAACACCAAACGGCACAAATATGTAGTTCTCAATTTGAGCTGAATATTTGAGCTGCTTGGAGCACTCAGCAGATGCCGCCGCCGTGCCTGCAGCTAGGAAGGTGCTAACTGTATGGTACAGAGCAAGCGTAACCGCGTAAGTTGCGTCCCATACTAGAGGTCCACCCTGCTTCCAAGGAATGAGCGCCAGCAAGTCAGGCCTCTTACCAACAACACGAAAGAACGCTAGGCTCAAGGACCTTTTTTATATTTTTCAACATATAAAATTGCTGTATATCTCATGTATATTTATGACTTTTCATTCAGAAATTTAAAATCTTTGGTCAGTAAAATGAAAACTTCAAAACCGAGGTCCACCTTAGGTTAGACGAAAACAAACAAAAAATTAAAAGATATTTTACTTTACATACTTACCCCCATTATGTTAAAAGAACAACTAAATGTTAGAGATTTATTGATTTTTGTAATTGGTAAACAAACAACAAGTTAATATAAACTTAAGTATCAAATCATGCGAAATAAACAAGCAATCTCGTTGCGGCGGGAACGGGATTATTTATTGTTGCTCTTTTGTTTTCAATACTATTACGAATCAAACCAATGAAATTAGAGGATTGTAATTCTGCTTGCTTTCTATTGGTTGTAACTAAGTTTGAACTTTGAAAAAAACGATAGAGAACATACTTTTACTTTTGACATCTTGACACTAAGCCAATCGTTCAAAACTCGTCTGTATGTTTTACCCCTAACACTTGTTGTGATTAATTTCTAGAAAATAATAAATTAAATGTTTTAAGTAAATTCATATTGCTTCATTAACGTATCACAAATTACTTTTTGCATTTATCAAAAATTACAAGATTTAAAGAAATATCAGAGTATTGTTTTACTAAAAAAGTTATTTTTGAACGAGAAGCCGCCAAATTCAAAATTATTGTCATTTCTGTCTTCGAAAAATCGATAGCTGTAACGAAGGTCACCCTTTTGACCTTTTTTATTATTCTTTTTCAATGTTCTACATTAAAATATTATTTTGGAATAACTAAAGCAAGCCCTGTTCGTTTCCGAACATTAGTGGCTGTTTGCCAAGTTTCAGTGTGTAAGCTTCAATCGAAATTTATGAACTGTACGAGGAGAGTGTGGTATATTTCCAGAGTTACATTGCGGAATTATTTTAAAAATATCAGGAATATGAAATACGTAACACTTTCGCAAACGGAGGATGTAATGCCGACATTAGGCTTAGGAACATGGCAGGTGGGGAAATATAATCATTTTCATCTTCATCAAACTCAGCAAAGTTTTCTGTGTAAAATAAAATTACTCTCACACTTGCATCTTCATCATAACTTACCTAACCTATGCGTTAATCAGTCACAATAATTATTAAACAACGATATTAAATACCCTTTACCCGTTTTTAATATCGTTGATAATAAAACTGAAATTTATTTTTAATATTGGTTATTAAAAAATATCTATTTTACATAAAAAAATAATTAAATATATTTAATTTTCTTGTTATTTTACTTCAGGCGGCACCAGAAGTTATAGAATCGACTGTGTATAAGGCTTTAGATTTAGGTTACAGACATATAGACACGGCATTTAATTACAACAATGAAGAAGCAATTGGAAATGCTATTAAGAAATGGATTGCCGATGGGAAAGGAACCCGCAAAGATTTATTTATCACTACTAAGGTAGGTACGCCTCTTTCAATCAAAATTATTTTTAACTTTTACTTTGACTGAGCACAGCCTCATATTTGCTAGTTTTGACCTATGAGAATTTGCCGTTGATTTTTTCATAGGCGTTGTTAATGTGATTTGAATTCAAGATTTTAACTTGTTGATTACTTATCATATGCCTGAGATACAGTGCGACCACGGACTTGTAGCACTAAGATGACATTAACAGGATAGCGCTGCTTGTGACTAAAGTGGTGAAATGAGGATTACTTAATACCTTCCTACGTAAAATCTCCTCACTCAAGGAACGTTAAAAGATTATAATTTATAATAATTGAAAAGATTGGTTTTTCTCGTTTTTTATTGCAGTTAATTATACCACCGTCTTTCCGGCTTCTTTCTTATCCTCTCCATCCTAAGGTCGTCTGGAAGAGATCGCTCTTAGCGATAAGAACGCCCATTTTGTGTGGTATTTTTTGTGGTGTAAAATAAAGATTTATTATTATTACTTATAATTGGAAAGAGTAATAGGAAATATAAATGGCTTATTTTTACCTTCTTAAAATTTATGTTTATATTTTTTTAGCATTTAAATGCTAGAGGTTTCAATCTAAAGAAAAGTTTACTAGAAAAAAATCCGCGCGGACGAGGCAGCAGGCGCGGATTCGACTCCCGTCGCACTATGTGGAGATCGAGTCGGTTTCGGGTCATAAATCTATAACTTCCATGTTTTTATAGATATACAGCTGTTTTTTTTTTAGGTAATCTGAGATAAACGTACTTTAAAATAATATACAGTCTATGCATATAAAAATATATTTAATAATTGTAAAAAAATACAAAACATGAAATATTGAAAAATTATCATAAATTTACGACTAATTTTAAACAATGTGACCTAAATGTTATAATTAATACAAAATAAACACATAAAATTACTCTTATTAATTAAATATAATAAGAAAAAGAAAATAACATAGAATTATATTATTCTACTAGCTCTACAGCTTCATCTATAAGTTCCGTAGACTTTTTATTGGAAGGTTTTCTTAAACTTGTTATGTAAGGGTCTGAAGTGTACAAAAGTGTATGTAAAATGTCTTCATTTGTAGCTACTCTAGAGCATTTTCTAGCATGATGAAGTCTGAATCGTTTATAGTCTTTGTTCCTTGATTCCTGGGCATCTTCGGAGAGCTGTCCAAGAGGTAACACTGAATAATGCCGAATTACACTTTCCCCATGAATTAGGACTTTATGGACAGATGATGGCATATAATACCACATATATTTACTAACATATCGTTGTGCTGTATCGAAAGCATACTGTCCAAATTTCGTAGCATTAATTACTTTTCCGCTAGACATAACTTGAAGTAAAACATAAAATCGTTTTATCAATTCCTCATCCACACCGGTAATTTCTGCAGTGCACTGATAATTTTGAAAAAATCGTCTAGCTGTATTACCGTCATTACTGTTACCAGAACCTTGCTTAGGTTTATCTATGTTTAAACCAAGTTCTTCTCTGAACCTTCTTTGTACATATGTCTTCTTTTGTTTTTTCAAATCTTTATTTTCTGTCGTTGTAGCAGACCATTTTTCAAAGCCTACATTATAAGATATATGTAAAATTAGTTCCATGAATCTAATCCAGCAATGTAAAGTCGAAAGCCCATATTGATAAGAATTTTCGTCAACAGGTTTATTTGGTACTTTTTCTAAATTGTTCATCTCTGTAGGTCTTGCACCACAAATAGTACATACAGCACCTGATGAAGTTTCTGACAAAACTTGAGCCACTTTCCCGTCAACCATTGTCAAAAATAATGTGTGTTTGATTTCAATACTTTCACCATTTTTATTGATTAAGCTTGTTGTGAGAGCGTTTCTTTGAGCTATAATTTCACTAACTACACTTGTAGTTTTCTCTGGTGTCTCTTTTGAAAATTCTATTAAAATGGGCCTACAAAATCTTACTGATGATGGAACAGGGTTTTCCCACAAAGTTTCATTTGTATTAATATCAACAAGTTTCAGAGGTACTAATGAAGATATAAATAAATTTGTGTCAGAAATTAACTCATCCTCTTCAGTTAAGACTTGCTTGTATTCACTTTGTCCGCTTGAGCCATCACAGCCCCATTTCGAATACAGCATTAAATGTTTTTTGCCAGCTTTGTATACACCATTGATTTTCAAAATTCTTGCAATAGTGTGATCCAGCAGATCTTGCAGTTTTATTTTTGCTGTAATATTATTAATTTCTATGCTTGATCTTGGTGGGTAGCAAATTCCTTTAGCTTCCTGAATTGATTTATATGACGGAAATAATACGCAGTTCTTCGCAATTAAGCAATTTCTCATGTTTTCATACTGTGCCATGTTAAGGTCCAACTCTATAAAAATACTGAGAGCTTCATCTTTAGAGTACGCTGTTAAATGTGCCGGTTCATTTAAAAGATTTTGACGTATTTCACTTTTTTTATCTATGGGTAATACTCGTAAAATTTCGACAATGAATGCTTCTTCCGTTTCCCCTTGAGATCTCAATCCTTGAAGATATGAATTCAGTATAAAATCAAGGCCACATGTTTCAAGCAACTCCTTGTTTTTTCGTCTTTGTGTTCTATCGGAACTGTCTTCGTAGGTTTTAGAAGGGCGTCCTCGCTTCCCCGTCGATGTCGAAGGTTCAGATTCACAAGTAGGATCTTCCAGATTTACTGTGAATGTGGCATTCAACCACAGGCTATTCTGATTTAAAAATTTTTCTTTATTTCTGCCAGATTTAGTGTAGCGTTGACGAAAGTTCGTAATAAGATTTTTTTGTACACTCGCGACAATTTTAGCGATATTTGCCTCAGAAAAGTTGATAAAATTATTCCGTATATAACTTGTTAAAGCAACAACATAATTCCCGTCACTTTCAATCAAAACAAGACAGGTCGCGTCTGGTACATTGGAATTCACTCATTGCGAGAGAGTAGGTGGTTAGATACACTTTTAGTAACGACAATAACGAACGAAAAACAGTATGTAATTATTCAGTATGCAGATGCTCTATTTTATATTAAATAACTGATTTGAAACGTATGCAAAATATGGGAATAAAAACTATTTATCATTATGTGGTTACTCGGTTTCCTATGTGTTTTATTGATAATTTATTTTGTAGGCGAACTAAAAATGGTGAGAAATACTCGATACATTATCAAAACATAAACCGCAATTAATAATATATCACAAGTGTAACCTATATCAACTAATAAAACAAATAGATTCGCCCACGTATTTCTAAGAAATTATTACTATTTCATGTTATGATAGATAGCATTATGTTGTGCAATGAAGTTGCAACTTTTTTTTTGTTCCTGTATAAAAATATTAAATTTCCTATCAAATAACATCATTTACAGACCTTCGGCAAATTTCGGCAACTGTCAAAACTCTAATTGAAAGTTTCAGATACGCAAAAATGATATGTCATGAGATAAATATTTCTAGTAAATATATTTATAAATATATAGCATATTTGTGTATACCAAAAAAAAGTATATATTATAAGCTTTCTAAAATGGTATAATACTTGTATAATTTTTATTGCTAGCTTACTAGAAAATCATCCTGAAAAAAATACAAATTATGATGTTTTCGTGATAATTTTTCAATCATCTTATTTAGATGCTCTTTACTATAAAAAAGTACTAGTTACATACATAATTTATACATAATATAGTAGATCAACTTCTTAGCTATAGTTTGAGGTATAATACAAGTACCTGCGCCGATTTTTACAAAATGTATTTATGGCCAAGCTCTCTTAGGGACCTCCACATAGTGCGTCGGCTTCCTGGTCCGCGTGGAATTTTTTCTAGATATATTTTCTTTAGATTTAAATTATGAATAGTTATTTTTAATATGTTTTGAACAATTTTACTCACTGCCTTGCAGCTTAAGAATGGCTAGAAGTATTTCGACGCGGCCGTCAGGGCCGCAGTAGCGTAATTGGTCAGTGCATTCGCCCGGATAGCGAAGGGTGCGGGTTCGAGTCCTGTCTGCTGCCTGGTCCGCGTGGATTTTTTTCTAGTTATATTTTCTTTACATTTAAACATCAAGCAGTTACATGCTTAAAATAATAAAAAATATGATTCATAATTTCTCATCGTTCCGGTAGTTAAACAAAAATTGACTCGAGGTCAAAGGTAAAAAATTTTACACTATGTCATTTCGACAAATGTTAAAAAGTTACAACGATGACAAAGTAATAGCGCGGTGTACTATGCTGGAGTATACTGTGGGAATGGTGGGAGAAGAAATTCTGATGAATTTTGGTGTTTATGAACGTAGATAAAACCCAGGAGGTAAAGAAAAAAAAAGGTATTTTAAAAAAATCAAGGACTGCTTAAAAATTACATTAAAAAAACTGAAACGAAAAATACAAGTTCAGTGTATAATTCTGTTAATTAAGGAACAAAGCTACTTTAACAGTCGGTATCCATTAGATATTATAGATTTTTTTTTAAAGTCGGTCCCAACTGTTAAAGTAGCTTTGTTCCTTACTACAGAATTATAGACTACTAGTCTTGTTTTTTCTTTTCAGTTTTTTAAAGTAATTTATAAACAGTCGGGTTTTTTGATTTTACCTTTTTATTTCACACTTTTTAGTTAGAATTATAAGATAATAAGTCTTGACATTTTATTGAAGTAGTTAATATCGCAGGGATTATTATGTAACTTGCGGCGCTCTAAACGTCTGATTTATTAATCCATATAGAGACCTTACCATCATGGTTAGGGCTACATATTATGGGCCTCAACTTTCGCAAAAATATGTCAAATTAAATCAACTACAGCCAGACCCGTCTTTCCCAGTGGGCACTTTGGGCAAGTGCCCAGGAGGATATGGTTGGAGACTTTTGAACTGAAGAAATATAAAACTGGTTGGTTGTGTACAATATTAAGATAACTTTAAATGCAAAGATATACTTGAACCTTCGCTCTTAACATGTATTTGACCACCTTGTCACCTTATATTTTTATGACGCTGACTGCACCGGAACGATGGGGAATTATGAAATGCTATTTTTAATCACATGTGTTTTTAACTTTACTCGCTTCCAGCTTGATTTAAATTTACGTACCTTCACTCTCATTTTTCTGTGTAATTTGACTTGGATTATTAAATCCTATCTGTATTCAGCTTCCCCACGTCGGCAACCGTGCTTCTGACGTGCTGAAGTTTCTGGACCTCCAGTTGTCCCGGCTACAGATGTCATATGTGGACTTGTATCTGATCCACGTGCCTTTTGCGTTCCAATGCGATCCGGAAACACTCACGCCGGTGGTCAACAAGGACACCGGCGATTATGAATTAGATTTAGAAACGAATCATATCACAACATGGAAAGTAAGTAAAGAATAAGAGCGTGCGGTGCCTTAAAAGAGGCACGGAACGGGCGTCAGCTCAGCCAGCAGTTTTTACATCATTTTATAGAGACCCGCCTTACGCAGCTGCTATATGAAATAACATGAAACAAACACGCCGAGCAGGCGCCCGCTCCGTGTCCCGCTTAACGCAGCATCAACTCTAAGACTTATTTGAAACAGTATAGTTCTTATTTATTCTAATTGTACAGATATGTAGGTAAGTAATACCTATCTTGTACGTATATCACGTACTAGACTGAGAGCTAAAGATATAAATTGATCTATTTTCCTAACAAACTACATTAAGAATAAGGGCTGATTTTTCAATTCATACATACATTTCAACCAAATGCAACCAAAAAAGGAGAAGGTTCTGCTATCGCCGTGTATGGATCTTGATTGTTATGTGGTTGATACTTTTTTTTACTGGGTAATTCTTTACCAGGCGGATGAATATTAACTGTGTATTGAAAAATCACCCTGTAAATGGATGAGTTGGTTCAAAGAACCTTCTGTGTTCTAGGAGTTGGTAATCTGTCAGTAATAATAATCTTTGGGGTGGACGGACCAATTATAAAACTAAAACACTTTATTCAAAATACTCTGCCTCTAATTCTATTTTTGGTGAGGCATTAAGTGGGATAATTACTTTTTTTCGTATAGAAAATGGAAGAGTGCCAGAAGAAGGGGCTGACGCGTAATTTGGGCTTATCCAATTTTAACGAGAGTCAAATGACGAAAATCATAAAGGCAGCGACACTCAAGCCACAGGTGCTGCAGGTCGAGCTGCATGCTTACTTTCAACAATTGGAGCTGCGAAAGTTTTGCGCTGAAAATGACATTGTGGTGACTGCGTACGCGCCGCTCGGCAGTCCCGGCGCGAAGACGCATTTTGTTACGAAGTATAATTACAGGTGCGTTATCTTTGTCTGAAGAAATATTGTTTTGTAGCGTATTTCTTAAACTTAAAACACGTGAAAATCTCTTTGCAGTTTGCTTCGGTGTAGTGCAGACTATGAGTTTTTGTTCTCGGGCTTGCATTATACTTCTATTTTTTCAGTGAAAATTGTGTACTTGATGGCGAAAACCGCATGAAAATCCGTTCAGCAATTTTTGAGATCATCTCGAACAATCTCAGTCATCTCAAACAAGCTGAAATTAGCAATATGTTTTGTGACAGTCGCGGGATCTTTCTGACAACTTTTTTGTTACGAGGGTACCAAACGCTATTTCGTATAGGTATAGCTAAGGTGAAATTTTCGAAAAATGACTATTTAAGCTATTTTTCACGCAAAACAGTGTTAGGTATCCTCGTAAAATCAATTTGATTTCTTTCCTTTAATTTTAAATAAATAAGAAAAATTAAAACAGTCGCCAAAGAAACGTTTCATTGACAAGAGCATATTTTTTTTCGCAAATTAAACCTTGCCGAGTGCCGATACTTGAAAATAGCGTTAGGTACCCTTGTGAATACATGTTTACTTTCCTGATTACTTTTACTTTTAAATAATTAAGAAAGATCAAAACATTATGGCCAGTGCAGTGATAGCGAAGGGTGCGGGTTCGAGTCCCGTCTACTGACTGGTCCGCGTGGATTTTTTTCTAGTAATATTTTCTTTAGATTTATACATCGAGCATGCAACATGCTTAAAAAAATTAATCAAAACAGTTTATAGAAACGACGTTTTGTGACGGTGCCGCAACTGGATGTGCCTGCTTGTTTCAGTTTCATTCTCGAACAGAGGCGCCACAGCCGCATAAAGTACATTATAGTACGGAAACAATACACTCTAGTATCTTTTGTGGAATACTGAAGATTTTTACAATGATATCTCAATGCATAGCTGTTGTAGAATGGAACAGTATAGACGACATTCTTAACTCAAAATTATACTAGATTTATTTGGTTTTCAGCCCAGATGCCTTTCCCGACTTGTTATGTTTAAAGGAAGTACAAGATATTGCTGATAAATATGGGAAGACGACAGCTCAGGTGCTACTACATTTCTTGGTGCAGCAAAAAGTTGTAGTAATTCCGAAGAGTACTAGTGAAACTAGACTAAAGGTACGAACATTTATAAGTATGTACTACTAATTATTAAAAATACATATCTTCACGCCGTATCTCTTGTCGTGGAGGGAGACAAGCATACATTTGCAAATAATATTATTTTGATCGAATTAGTACCAATTTTAATTAGCCTTTAGTATGTTGGCATAGCTAGAGATTTTCCCTAGAGGGGGCAGCCATCGAGTTCAACTTACTAATTTCTAGGGTGGGCATTGCCCCTCCCCTACCCTAGTTACGCTCACAATTTCCACCTACCCTCCATTAATTATGATTGAACATTGATTTTCTAATTACGTCCTGTAAACAATGCTTTTAATTATAAATACACAAGGAGTATAGTCAAGCACGGTGACATTAACATTAAAGTTTGGGGTTTTTTTCCGGATGTGGAGTTGGATCCGTTCGGAAGATTGAAGGTACAATGGATCAATGGCAATACAAAAATATTTTAGAGCACTCAATGATAGGGAATCATTGAGTCCCTACTCGGACGATCATTTGCCTGTAACCTGGATCTTTCAGCACGACAATGACCCTAAACACACGGCCAATAGTATTAAATGTTTCCTTAGCGAACAGCGTATATCCGGTTTAGACTGGCCAGCAAATAGTCCGGATTTAAACCCGATACAAAATCTCTGAGATACAGTTAAAAAGAAAGTCTCAAACAAACGTAACACCAGTTAAAACGAACTATATGAAGCATTTGTTAAAGCATGGAATTCAATCCCCATAGAAAAATGTACCCTAAACACACGGCCAATAGTATTAAATGTTTCCTTAGCGAACAGCGTATATCCGGTTTAGACTGGCCAGCAAATAGTCCGGATTTAAACCCGATACAAAATCTCTGAGATACAGTAAAAAAAGAAAGTCTCAAACAAACGTAACACCAGTTAAAACGAACTATATGAAGCATTTGTTAAAGCATGGAATTCAATCCCCATAGAAAAATGTACCCTAAACACACGGCCAATAGTATTAAATGTTTCCTTAGCGAACAGCGTATATCCGGTTTAGACTGGCCAGCAAATAGTCCGGATTTAAAACCGATACAAAATCTCTGAGATACTGTTAAAAGGAAAGTCTCAAACAAACGTAACAACAGTTAAAACGAACTATATGAAGCATTTGTTAAAGCATGGAATTCAATCCCCATAGAAAAATGTACCCTAAACACACGGCCAATAGTATTAAATGTTTCCTTAGCGAACAGCGTATATCCGGTTTAGACTGGCCAGCAAATAGTCCGGATTTAAACCCGATACAAAATCTCTGAGATACAGTAAAAAAAGAAAGTCTCAAACAAACGTAACACCAGTTAAAACGAACTATATGAAGCATTTGTTAAAGCATGGAATTCAATCCCCATAGAAAAATGTACCCTAAACACACGGCCAATAGTATTAAATGTTTCCTTAGCGAACAGCGTATATCCGGTTTAGACTGGCCAGCAAATAGTCCGGATTTAAAACCGATACAAAATCTCTGAGATACTGTTAAAAGGAAAGTCTCAAACAAACGTAACAACAGTTAAAACGAACTATATGAAGCATTTGTTAAAGCATGGAATTCAATCCCCATAGAAAAATGTACCCTAAACACACGGCCAATAGTATTAAATGTTTCCTTAGCGAACAGCGTATATCCGGTTTAGACTGGCCAGCAAATAGTCCGGATTTAAAACCGATACAAAATCTCTGAGATACTGTTAAAAGGAAAGTCTCAAACAAACGTAACAACAGTTAAAACGAACTATATGAAGCATTTGTTAAAGCATGGAATTCAATCCCCATAGAAAAATGTATGAATATTAATGCATGAATTAAATTTGTCACCATGCTCCTTTAAGGCGTTTAGGATAATCTGTACACGGTATCTACTCTTTTTATTTAACAAAACTTTTACGATTTTAGGAGAATATGGATATATACGATTTCGAGATGAGTCCGCCAGAAATCAATCGTCTCAAAAAATTGGACAAGGGCGAAGACGGTCGCATCTTCAACTTCCTATTTTGGAAAGGTGTTGAGAAACATCCGGAATACCCTTTCAAGTTGGCCGCGACTGAATTCACAAAAGAATAAGGCATTACAGTATTTAACAGAAGCTTAGAATTAATATGTTGGCGAGACGTTATAACGTACGACTATAACAAAACAAGCAAGCTTGTTTCGTTTTTCAGCTTTAAATTTGAATCAGTGTAACTGATACAATTTTTTTTTAGATTTATCTAGCGTATCATTGTTGTAGTGTTTATTTTTTCAATGAATAAAATTCATAATGCGGTGATGCAGTTGCAATGCAATTATTTACAATTTAATAAACCCGAACTTATAAAACCTCTTCGTCCACGGCATATCACTTGCAGCGTTAGTAGATCATCAAAACAATGGCAGGGGTCGTTGAACACGAGTGCTTTTCCCGGCGTTATTTGTAAATGAATATGCCATGAAAAACCTAACTTGTAAAAGAAGTCTCGCAACTCAGTTCTACTTCTTCTACCGTCAAAAGTTGTGAAATCCATGTTATGCCAAGTCGGTTAATTTATTCAGTCCCTACTTAAGGAACCTTCTGTCTTGAGTTAATACGAAATTAGCTCATCTAACAACATCTTATACTGACCATTTCAATATTAAAAATGTTGAATGTTTCAAATAGATAAATTGACTTGGAAATCGCATGAAAACACAATGTATCTCACATTATTATATTAAATTAGATTGTTGAGTTTTAATATGGTCTGAGTTTTGATATGGTCAGTATAAGATGTTGTTAGGTGAGCTAATTTCGTATCGTAATATAATTATTAAACTACTGGTTCAAATTCAATGAAATTTGAAATATACCGAGTTTATATGATGCACTTGGTTACTAAAAATTCAGGCTTCTAGTTTTATCGCCAACGAAGTTATAGGGGGTTGAAAATGGCCTGAACTGTTTCGAGAAAAGGAAGGTTCTGCTGTTTTTTTACTGATTTTTGAGTTTTGTGTATTTTATTTCGGGACTTTCATTACCGATGAAAGTTCTATTTTGGACGCTGGGCGTCGTTGAAAATACACGACTAAACTCGCCAACGCGAACGACAGGATTTTAACATGCGTAGAAAAGTTATTAGCAAGCGATCCCCGGTGTACATCCTTATATAAAATGCAACACTGTTTTCTTTCTTTCCCTGTCATATTTCGCAAAATAAAACAAGGTAGTATTATTTTGTAAGAAACGCTTAATTTTATTTTATGAACATAAAAAAAAACCTGGTCAAAAGCATAAAATTGAAGATAGATCACGAGAGTCGATACAGCATTTTCCTCTGCAATCTGTGCTGCAGTTCCCCGCGCCTTATCATGGTGTGGATGACCTTCTGTATGGCTCGCTCGGGGTATTTCTGCCGTAGGAAGTCTTGTATGATCGTCTGTTCGGACACTTGAGAGCCGACGGCGAACCGCCGTTTCAGTTGTTTCTCTATGCGCGAGAGCATTTCGTGGTCTTCTTCTGTTGTAAATCCTTCAGCTCCTATAAATAATGGAATTATATCATCATCATCAGCCTATTAATGTCCCCACTGCTGGGGCACATGCATTCCCTATGGATGGAATAGGGAGATTGGGCCATGATCCACAACGCGGGCCGTGCGTATTGGCGAGTGCTAACGACAGTAGATGCAGCCGGGACCAATGGCTTAACGTGCCTTCCGAAGCACGGACGAACTCGAGATAGAAGATTTTTGGTCACTCATGCAATGACCAACCAGTGCTAAAGTTGCTTAAGAGCCCTTTCACATTTTTTGCGAAAAAATGAAATTTTTGAGCGCCTCGTTTACCCCTTCGAAAAGATTTTGACTATTTCCAATAAAAGTAAACAGTGGATTTATTCTTCCTATTGTAAGTTAATGTAGAATATTTGCAAATATTCCATATTATATATTCTATTTTCCTTCTTTTTGTACTGATCGTTCTACTGCAGCTAGTTAACGGATAAAACGATAATATGCACAACTTCAAACGCCTCATTCTCTCAATAATGTTCAATAAATTAGATCAAATTCATTACTACGAAATCAGAAATATATTTTTGTTGTAACATAATGTATTAGAACTTTGATTTTCCATCTCATTAATTATAAAAAAAAAACATGTAACCTCCGTGAGTTTTCTCAAAAAAATAATGCAGGTTTACCTCGTATTTTGATATTGAATTAAATAGAATTACTATCAAAAACTTTCATAAAACTAATCTACCATCATTGAACTACTGAAATATTTTTTTTTTATAATTAGTTCATTAATAATTATTTTGTAAGACTCGAAATTTCACCCGCCGCGCCGATCAGTACGGCAGCGGCGCAGTTTTGTAAAAGGGCTCTTAACTTCAACGATCGCAGCCGAACGCGCTAACCACCCTCACATCCATCGAGGAATTATATACTGAGACTCAATAAGGCCCGGTGGAAACATTTGTATTACGACTATGGTTCTTAGTGCTACTCACTAAAGGCCTCAACCTTAAAATTAAAGATAGTTTCAAACTCATACAATCTTCAATACTAACGCGCCATGCACAAAGACAAAACAAACGAGTTCGGCTATCTATTCATTGGATAAGATAATGTAAAACGAAAATCCCCACAGCCAATCCCATGATCGGTGTGTTGATCGTGTAGCGTGCAAGTAAACTAAACGCAGCACAGGATCATACGAGGTATGACGTAGCCATGCTCTTTGCCATATTAAATTATGAAGGTAGGGGAAACTACCCAATCATTGGCACTCTTCCTATTATTGGCACTTTTGAGTATAGTTCGAAAAAACCAGGAAACAATAGCTTACAGGAATAATGCTGCGAATTTTTAAATTTCGTAACCATACTAGGGTTTTCTTTTTAATATGTAACGACCTTGAATAATCTATTGTCTCCTTGTTTTTTTCGAATTAAACTCAAAAGTGCCAATAATAGGACGAGTGCCAATGATTGGGTGGTTTCCCCTATCTACTTAATTCAATCAAATATTCACAATACAAACGTTTAAGCACGGCTAATTGTTAAAAAACAATTCACACTGTTCGGTCGTCGCTGCGGCGCATTCGCGACTGGACCCACCGGGTGCCGCGCGAACTCGAGTGGCGTAGGTATGACACGCTTTCCAACCGTTTGTATGAAGATAGAATACTGTATAGATAATATTACCGTGACGTAGCGGTGGCCTGACCAGTGACGTCACGTACGCAGGCACACCTGCAATATGGTCGCCGGCGCATCTTTTGTTCACGCAGTGCAAGTAGCATGCAAGTACGATGCATCGGAGACCATCTATTGTTCTTCGATGGGATCGCGCATCTATTGTTCTTCGATGGGAGGCGCGGCTTCACCACTACGTCAAGCGCGAACCTTAAGTATTATTAATATTTTTTTCTATATAAAAGACGATGTCTTCTTGATTTGTACACGTTCTGCTTTGCATTTCGCTTTGTGAATTAATATTAAATTTTATAAATTGCCACTGCAGTAGTCTAATTTAACCGACGCTTCCTGTACCTGGCTTATTACCGAAGTCAGCTAATTAATTAAAAAGTAAAAATAGTAAGTTAACTATAATCAGCTACTTGCACTGCGTAAACAAAAGATGCGCCAGCCACCATAATGCAGATGTGCCTGCGTGCGCGACGTCACTGATCAGGCCACCGCTACGTCATACATCGTATGATCCTGTGCTACGTTTAGTTTACTTGTACGCTACACGATCAACACGCCGATCATGGGATTGGTTGTGTGGATTTTCGTTTTACACTATCTTATCCAATGAATAGATAGCCGAATTCATTTGTAAATATTTGATTTGTCAAAATATTTTGTTTTGTCTTTGTGCGTGTCGCGTTAGTATTGAAGCTTGTATGAGTTTGAAATCATCTTTAACAGCGCCGCTCGGACGCTTTTTAATGCAATGTTGTTTGGCGATTCGGAGTCTACTTGTTTTTAAATGTCGATAATGAACACTTACCAGCCAAACTTCCAGTCATAGCGGCGTCTAAAGTGGAAACTTGGAACAAACGTAGTGCCTCTGTAACGTGAGCTTCAGTGGCGAACGGCTGCAACTGCATCTTGGCTAGGGATTCCGATATCCGCACAATGGCTTCCAATTGCCTGCAATTAATGTTTCATGTTGGTTAATATATTATTAATATTATAGCCTACTGAGAGTAGCAATAAATATGTGTAACTCGTGTCATTACAGAAATAAATGTCAAATGGTAAGACATTCTTACGTCGTCATTTGCGACGACGTAAGAGGGATGATGTCTGCTGCGCTAGTGTCTGGAATATGTGTATCTGTAAAAAACCTGTAATTGGATAACTATTTCATAATTTAATATTTCCTGTGTTTTAATAGCTGTTGGTTTTTTTCTATAATAAATTTATACTTTTTTTATTAAGCAGGCAATTCCTCCATTTACTTATTAAGGTAAATGGAGGAACCTCTCGCAAGTCTCACGGGAGCGAAACGGGAGAAGCCGTTAAGCAGTCCACGCGTCTTACGAGCGCTTACGGCATACTATCCGCTTAAGAACCCTATGAATATAATCATTATGAACACCCCCTACGCTGTTAAGTGCGGAACCGTGATCACCGCGTCACAATAAAATATATGTACAGTACCAGGCCATTTATAAGTTGCATCGTGCTTTAGAGAGAAATACTCGTCTAGCTTTGGCTTTATAGAGCGTCATAACAACAGTATGCGGCGTAACGACGCAGTACGGCTAGAGGGAGCTCCTACCTGACGGTGATAGGGATGGCCAGGCGGCGGTGTGCGTCGCGCTCTTGCTGCGCGGCGCCGGTGCGCATGAGGACGTATCTGGCGCGCAGTCTCTCCGCGGCGCTGGGGGAGAGGCGCGGCCCGCAGCGCGCGCGGCAGTACGCAGCGTAACGACGCAGTACGGCTAGAGGGAGCTCCTACCTGACGGTGATAGGGATGGCCAGGCGGCGGTGTGCGTCGCGCTCTTGCTGCGCGGCGCCGGTGCGCATGAGGACGTATCTGGCGCGCAGTCTCTCCGCGGCGCTGGGGGAGAGGCGCGGCCCGCAGCGCGCGCGGCAGTACGCAGCGTAACGACGCAGTACGGCTAGAGGGAGCTCCTACCTGACGGTGATAGGGATGGCCAGGCGGCGGTGTGCGTCGCGCTCTTGCTGCGCGGCGCCGGTGCGCATGAGGACGTATCTGGCGCGCAGTCTCTCCGCGGCGCTGGGGGAGAGGCGCGGCCCGCAGCGCGCGCGGCAGTACGCAGCGTAACGACGCAGTACGGCTAATGGAAGCTCGCCGGCTGCCGCCTCGCGCTCGGTGGTGTCGCCGCCCATGTGCACGGAGATTATGTGCTTTGCTAGCGTCTGGGGATGTAGGTAGTCGAAGTGTTTTTCTATTGAAGAGTTCGGCAATTTTTCGCGGAATGAGTGGGGATGATGCCGAACTTATTTTTCTTTATTTGTTTCTTAGGTTTTCACACACATCACTTATTAAATAAAACTAGTTTTTTACGGGTTAATGCACGAAACTTTATTTATTTATTGACGTTTCGCAGCCTTTACAGGCTGCGTCGTCGGAATCAATTTTTTATTTAATTTTGTCGAGCTAACTTCGAAAGACTTTTATTGAGCGTTCGGTTATTTCATTGTTCGATTTTTAAAGTTTTATTGTCTATGTATGAATTTATTACTTAATTTAGTTAATAAAGTACTTTATTTAAAAAATCTTTTTTGTAATTTTGAATTTATTTATTTGACCCTCACTACCGTAAACTACCACCGGTTCCAAAATTGGGAGACCTTTCTGAGAAGAACCGGCGAAACAAACTCAAGAGAGGCTTTCTATCTCCTTCTTATGGTAAATTATGCAAACAAAAAGAACTAATAGTATCTGTTGGTCTTGCAGTATGTGTTCGGGGTTGGGATTTTATCTCCTGTATAATGGGTTCCCAAGCTGGTGGTATATACTAACCATCTTCCCTATTGAAATTTGAATACCTTTTTTCTTTGTCTATCAAGTAGATTGTCTTAAAGTATTGGACACGACTTTTTTGTTTATTCACATAATCATAACATTACAGAGAAAAAACTCTTCGCATTCTGTATTGTATCTGACTGATTTTGGTATCATTAAGAAGTCAAAATTTTAAAAAAGATAATTACTAATTCAAATTAAAAAAATGTGTGAATTTCATTTGTTTTTCATACCGTCAAGATGAGTGAATGTAATGAAGGAATTCGATACATTTTATAATTTTATTACAAAAAAGGTAAAAATGTCGGACCTAGTGTAGTGTCTGTGAGAGTAGCACAAATTTGGTTTAAGCATTTTCAATCCGCAAATTTATGTCTCCTGGTCGCCCTGTTACGGATAAAATGGATGCCACTTTTGAAAAAGTGGAGCTAGATCGGCATGTAGTAGCTGGATACAAAAAAAACTAGACATTTGGGTGCCTCACGAGCTCACTGAAAGAAATCTAATGAACCATGTACTCATATGTGATTCTTTATTACGACGTTTCGAAGAAGCTAATTACTGGTGATGAAAAGTATCACCTATGACAAGAACGCGCGAAAAAGGTAGTGGTCAGGCTTCATAGACTGGCGAAACCCGGGTGAACTCGCAATAAGGTGATGCTGTGTATATGGTGGGATTGGAAGGGTATTATATTATGAGTTGTTACCGCCAGGCAGGACTATCGATTCTGAACTCTACTGCGAACAACAGATCACTCAAAAAAATTAAAAGAGTTTGACTGGGAGGTGTTAATGCATCCGCCGTATAGTCCTGACTTTGCATTTTCAGATTTCCACCTGTTTCGTTCTCTTAAGAATTCTTTAGGCAATGTCAGGTTAACATCACGAGAGGACTGCCAAAACCTCTTGTCGCGGATTTTGTTCAGAAGCCCCAAAATTTTTATAGCAATGGGATCATGTCCTTACCTTCAAGATGGCAAAAAGTTATCGAAGAAAATGGCACATACCTTGGTAAGTAAACTTAATGAAAAAAATGTTTCGAATTTTCATTTACAATGCGAATAAACTTTTTCCCTAACCTAATTGATTTGAAATTTCGTATGACGTCACGTTTTAGTACAATTTTTACTTAGAAGTGACGTCATGAGCCCCACTGCCAAACTGAAACGTATTTCTCTGTAATTTTTTCGTTGATTGACAAAAGAAAAATATGCGTGTTCAATGTTTTTTGTAAATCTTACTGACGGACTTGGCCCCAACCGTTTTCTAAATCATGATTAGGTTCATGAACCAGATATTATTTTTTTACTTTTTAGTTCCATTTCTAATACTGAACTCGGTTTAATTTTTATTATAAAAATATTTCATCAATTTTAGTGAAAATAACATCATGGACGAAGTAAACAATAAACAAAAATGCTCACAAAATAAAAACTACCTGCTCAACTAAATACATTTTTTATGTAACTAAACGGCAAGTATCTCCCATTGCAAAAAGAAGAATCACTCAAATGCTATTTATATTTTTTTACAGCAATAGTTATGTCCTCATCATGCTCTTAAAGGAGTGAAAAGAAGAAACTGCTGTCAAGTTTACAAATAGCATGCAGTGCATGTGAAATGCATAACAGACAATCAAATAAAAAAATATTATGCTATTATCTTAGTCATCTATAATGCTCTGCTTATAATAACGGTTCTCGCATTTTAAATATTTAAAAATGAAGAGGAAATAAGTGATATTAAGGAGGTAAGAACATTTAAAGGACCAATAAGGTGAAGACAAGAAGTGTAGCCAACGATATTAAAAACCTACGAAAAATACACCATGGGCGCTCAGAATGTATCCCACAATCAAGAAGTACTTCTTGGTTCTTCCGGTTTTTGATATAAAAAATAAATATAAATACTTCTTTCCAACAAACTCACGAAATTAGCATGACATCTTAACTTTTAAACAGTAATTGACAATCAAAAAATTAATTTTTACTCACAATATCTCTGCTCTGATCGTGCTCGTCTTTCACAATGAATATCATGTCGAATCGAGAAAGGATCGTCGGCATGAAGTCGATATTGTCCTCTGCCTTCGTGTCGTCCCAGCGGCCGAACACGGAATTTGCGGCGGCGAGTACGGAGCACCGCGAGTTGAGGGTAGTTGTTATACCCGCCTGGAATAATAATAATAAAATAAAAAAACCGGCCAAGTGCGAGTCGGACTCGCGCACCGAGGGTTCCGTACAAACCTGTAGGTATTTTTTAATAATTGTAAAAAAAAAAAATATGATGTTACTAGAAATTTACGGTTTTCTCAATTTTTCCTTTATCTGTACTATAAGACGTTACTTCGATTGCAAGTAGGTTTTGATTCCCGTGCGAGTTTCGAAAATTATCGGCATAAACGGCTGTATCTTTTGATTGCTTTGACTTAGAAGTTTGATTTTTTCACAGCTCCAAAGGGCAGTGGAAATGAGTATTAGATATGAATTTCAGTTTGATACCTCCACGCGTTCCTGAGAAAAACGGTTTTGACAGACGGAAGGACGGACAACAAAGTGATCTTATAAGGGTTCCGTTTTTTCCTTTTGAGGTACGGAACCCTAAAAATGTGTAAATAAAATTTTAGTAAAAAAAAATATCTTAAGAATTATGAAAATACTGGCTGTGCCCCGTGGTGTTACCCGCGGTTTATTAGGGATATTTTCCCGCAGTAAAACGTACCCTATGTGTTAATCCAGGGTGTCAGCTAACTCCACACTAAATTTAACTCAAATCGCTCCAGCCGTTTAGACGTGAAGAAGTAACAAACGTATACACTCACAAACTTTCGCCTTTATTATATTAGTGTGATTTTATTTAGGTTCTTACAAACACTGGATACTGGGTAGAAAACGTAAAGCATTCATTGCAACAGAATAATTTTAGTTTTTACTAAGAAAGTGTCATACACGAGCACCGGCACCGCGAGTTGAGGGTAGTCGTTATACCTGCCTGCCTGAAATGTGTTAACATGGTATGGGCTAAACACTGGATATTGGATAGCGACAGAAGAGCGATTCACAATATTGTATTCCTTATATAATTTGTATCTAATTGTTGACGATGAATCCGGCTCGAAGGACCAAGATGCCGGTGATGAATTGATGATGATTTTTTTTTGTATTTTAATATAATTATCCAAAATAAATAAATATTTCCAACACTCACACCAATTAGCCTAGCCTCAAAGTAAGCACTGTAACTCTTGTGTTATGGGATGCTAGGGTAACGGATACAATACATATACTGTACATATATAAGTATTTTTAAAGAAATACATATTCAACATCCATGACTGGAGTACAAATGCTCGTATTCATCACACAAACAGATGTTTGTGATGTTTGGGGCAGATGCCCCCACCGGGATTCGAACCCGGGACCTCTCGAGTCGGCGACGCCATTAAACCCGGCGTACAAACCAGTCGGCCACGGAGGTCGTCCAAAACTCGGGTAATGTAAATTAATCAGTGATAAACCAACTGACTATTGATCTATAAGCAAAGACTGCATAAGTCACATGTCTAAAACAAAATTCATTACAAATTAAGTGATTCTGAAATTCATTCAAATACGCAGAAGAACACATTTTCTAATAAGTTGTTATTTCTTTCTTTTTACTATTTTCACGGATGTCCTTTTATTTTTATTATTATTCTGTTGTTATGTTGTTGTTGTATACCTTTCTTTGATAATTATGTTTACCTTGGCAATGGATATGGTTTGTTGTTCCATGGCTTCATGTATAGCGACGCGGTCGTCTTCTCGCATCTTATCGAATTCGTCTATACAAACGACCCCGCCGTCTGCTAGAACCATAGCGCCGCCTTCCATTACAAAATTGCGCTGCAGACATTTTAAAGGTTAATTCATAAATGAAAAGAAAAATTTACTAGTTATTTTTTTATATTTTTCGTACAGTTAACCCAAGAAAAGTCAAGATATCGGGATAGGGTTAATGTTTTGAAATCTACACTATATTGTTTGCAGAGTAAAATGGACACATGCGTGGCGGGACAGATTGCTAATAAAATATACCAAAAAATTATAGCATCCGTCCGCGACCTCAGTCGTGTTTTTGAGAAATCCATACTAAACTTTTAATTTATCAGGATGAAAAGTATCCCATGTTTCAATTCGGATAGTAAACTGATGTGTACTTAAGCGCTTCGTCCACGAAGAGAGAATAGAGCTAGATAGCTTGGAGACAAATCTAATCTATACTCTCATTTCTGCGTACACGTAGAGATCATTAGAGCGCCCTATTACAGTTTTTTGCCCTATTGTAGGGTAGCTCTATCTTAGAGAAATGTTGGCCTATGTACACTACACTACTAGTAGACTAGATATTCAATCACACATTCAGTTGAAAACATGTCGCGGTCACGCTTAGCTGCTGCGTGGTTTCTTTGTTATTGGAAAAGAAAAATAAGGAAAGTAAACGAAACTACTGGGTTAAACAATGGATTGTAGATCGATCGAAACAAGGAGCATATAGTAATTTAATATAGGACTTGAAAGCAAAAGATGTAATATTTTACAGAAATTTCCTTCGCGTAGCGTCGTCAGATTTTCAGTTTGTTCCAGAACTTATTAAGCCAAAAATTGATAAACGAGATACTGTGATGCGAAAAGCGATAACTGCTGGATAAATATTGACAATCACATTACAGTACTTAGCCACAGGTAAGTTAGTCCTACTAATTAATTTATTAAAGTATTATGAATATGTAACTTGGACGTTTGTAACAAACATACAGAGCATAACTATACTACAATGAAAATAATCAAATATTAATGAAAGTAGTCATTTATTTTTCAAAAAGCGATAATTTAATGAATAAAAGTAAGTACTCATTTATTTTTAAGCAAAGGAATAATTTATCAATTATCAATTAAAGTAAACATTTATTTTCAGGTGACTCCTACAAATCACTGCAATATTTATTTCACTTACGAACTAGGACAATCCCCAAACGTTGTAAGGCATTGTATGACTGCTTGAAACATCTTTTTTTAAAGGTTCGTATATTATTTAGATGTAGATGGATCACTTAAAATTTTCAATATATTCCAATAGGCGTTCTTCATGTAACTCATGTAATTCCAAATTAAATACAAAACAGACAACTAGCACGTGTTGCGGAGACCTTGCTCTAGCTAGTCTGATTAAAACATGTAGATAATTCTAGAGCTCTCTATTCGTATCACTTGTCTCGCTCTCGTGCCAGCGTCCACGGTGCCTTTCGAGAGTGCTCTAGTTAGGGCAGTCTTGCTAATGTGATATATGATCATAGATTGCCTCATGAGACTCGCTCTCTGTTATTTAATCTACCGTGGACGAGACGAATTGGCAGGTATCACTTCAAAAAAGAGCTATCGCCCGTTCTAAAATGAGCCTTATGCAGTGCGGCGTAAGGGAGAAAGTGCAAAGGGCATAGCAGATTTTCCGCTCGAATTGGAGCGCCCGTCTCGGGGAGTAACCTCCACCCTACAGAAGACTACAGTAAAATAATAGGCTATGGTGGCCGCTTACCATCATCAGGTGGGCTATTTATTTATTTATGTTTACCAGTGTTTGTTTACACATTACTTAAAACTATTTACAAGATTAACTATGCATTCTAGCGAAACAATCTATTAAGGTAAACACAGCAAACATTAAACTAGGCGGTTAGAAAGTAAAGGCTATACGCTGGTTTGTCCCCTTTTAACATAAAAAAAATGTGTGATTGAGTACCTAACAGACATCCAAACATACAATATTTCATATTTATAATATTAGTAGAACTATGATCTATTTCTATAGGAACTCTAATAACAGACGCAGTCAGACCGGGCGCACTCGATGCCTTGCCCGAAGTATAGACCCATATTGGGGCCACTTTCTCGACAAAAGTATCCTTATAATTTTTATTATTTTTAAAGCATGTAACTGCTTGATATTTAAATCTAAAGAAAATATAACTAGAAAAAATTCCACGCGGACCAGGCAGCAGACGGGACTCGAACCCGCACCCTTCGCAATCCGGGCGAATGCACTGACCAATTATGCTACCGCGGCCCTCACGGACCGCGTCGAAATTCTCTCTAGCTATTCTTAAGCTGCAAGGCAGCGCCATCTCTTCGCATTATAGGTAAACCCACAATGTCAAATGAATACTTTTACAAGTATTAAACATTTGAAAGAAGAAATAGCAATTATAGTTATAATTTTTATTATTTTTAAAGCATGTAACTGCTTGATATTTAAATCTAAAGAAAATATAACTAGAAAAAATTCCACGCGGACCAGGCAGCAGACGGGACTCGAACCCGCACCCTTCGCAATCCGGGGGAATGCACTGACCAATTATGCTACCGCGGCCCTCACGGACCGCGTCGAAATTCTCTCTAGCTATTCTTAAGCTGCAAGGCAGCGCCATCTCTTCGCATTATAGGTATAGTTATATTTTCTTTAGATTTAAATATCAAGCAGTTACATGCTTTAAAAATAATAAAAATTATAACTATAATTGCTATTTCTTCTTTCAAATGTTTAATACTTGTAAAAGTATTCATTTGACATTGTGGGTTTACCTATAATGCGAAGAGATGGCGCTGCCTTGCAGCTTAAGAATAGCTAGAGAGAATTTCGACGCGGTCCGTGAGGGCCGCGGTAGCATAATTGGTCAGTGCATTCGCCCGGATTGCGAAGGGTGCGGGTTCGAGTCCCGTCTGCTGCCTGGTCCGCGTGGAATTTTTTCTAGTTATATTTTCTTTAAAAGTATCCTTTCTTTGATATATGATAAATTGCGTCTTAGTAGTAACGTTGCAGATTTTGTTGAGGGAGTCTTTTTAAGTATAATTTTAGATGTTTTTTTGAGATAATTTGTACCAAGGTACTAAATTAGGCAAAAATCGAAGGTCTTCCTTCAGCAGTTGCGACTTGGCTGTGCCCGGATCACGGAGTTTATAATATAACTAGCGGCCGCCCGCGACTTCGTCCGCGTTAACTTTTAGTTTTTTTTCTAAAATAAAAGTAGCCTAAATTACTCCTTATTACATCAGCTACCTGCCAATAAAAGTCCCGTCAAAATCGGTCCAGCCATTTCAGAGATTATCCGGAACAAACAGACAGACAGATAAAAATTTCAAATGTTATCTTGATGTATGTACCGTATATATATTCATATGCATGTACTAAAAAGCGGTTATTTCAATATTACAAACAGACACTCCAATTTTATTTATATGTATAGATGTAAAGATTAAGTTGAACTATGATCTATTCCGACTTATGCTTCCCGGATCTGTAATAACCGAAGCAGTGAGACTGGCCGCACTCGAGCCCTTGCCAGAAATATAAACCCCTATCGGGGCCACTTTCTCAACAAATTTCAGCAGTTGCGACTTGGCTGTGCCCGGATCACGGAGTTTATAATATGATTAAGTTGAACTATTATCTATTTCGAGCTACGCTTCCCGGATCTCTAATAACCGATGCAGTGAGACCGGCCGCACTCGAGCCCTTGCCAGAAATATAAACCCCTATCAGGGCCACTTTCTCAACAAATTTCAGCAGTTGCGACTTGGCTGTGCTCGGATCACGGAGTTTATAATTTAATTAAGTTGAACTATTATCTATTTCGACTTATGCTTCCCGGATCTCTAATAACCGAAGCAGTGAGACCGGCCGCACTCGAGCCCTTGCCAGAAGTATAAACCCCTATCGGGGCCACTTTCTCAACAAATTTCAGCAGTTGTGACTTGGCCGTGCCCGGTTCACTGAGTTTATAATATAATTAAGTTGAACTATGATCTGTTTGGACTTACGCTCCCCGGATCTCTAATAACCGAAGCGGTGAGACCGGCCGCACTCGAGCCCTTGCCAGAAGTATAAACCCCTATCGGGGCCACTTTCTCAACAAACTTCAGCAGTTGTGACTTGGCCGTGCCCGGATCACCGAGCAACAGTATGTTGATGTCACCGCGCCTCGTTAATCCGTCGGGTAAGCGTTTACGAGATCCTGTGGGCGAAGAAAAATATTATCTATCTATACATATAATAAAATAGTAGGAAAGTCAAAACTGTAGATTGAATATTTTTTTAAAAGAATACTTGGGGTGTGATCTAAAATCGATACCGAAGCCAAAAATAAAGCTTTTAGAACTTTTGTCTGTTTGTATATCCGGGATAAACTCAAAAAGTACTGCATGGATTCACTTCAAATTGGGCACGAATATTATTAAGAAGTTGGGTCAACATATAGGTTAGATATTATCACGCTAACACCTACGGGGAACGAGCAGTGAACAGGGGTCAAAAAGTATGTGCAAATAACTAACTCCACGTGTACGAAGTCGCGGGCGGCCGCTAGTTAACAAAATAGAGTACAAATTATTATTATTGAGGACTTCGATTGCGAAGGTGGTTAGCGCAATCGGGCTGTGATCGTGAAAGTTATGCAACTTTCGTAATGATCGGTCATTGGATGGGTGATCGAAAACTTATTATCTAGAGCTCGTTCCGGAAGGCATGTTAAATCGTTGGTACCGGCTGCATCTGCAGTAGTTAGCAACCACCAATCAGCACTGGACCCGCGTGGTGGGTCATGGCCTAGTCTCCTTATTCCATCCATAGGGAAGGCCTGTGGCCCAGCAGTGAGAATATTCATAGGCTGATGATGATAGAACCTTATAATATCACACTAATATTATAAAAAAGTTTGTGAGTGTGTATGTTTGTTACTTCTTCACGTCTAAACGGCTTGGTTGAGTTGAGTTAGCTGACACCCTGGATTAACACATAGGCTACGTTTTACTGCGGGAAAATATCCCTAATAAACCGCTGGTAACACCGCGGGGCACAGCTAGTAGAAGATAATTAAGAATGTTATATACCACCAAACAGCAGAGTGGCGATGGCTTTCTTCATGTCTACAGCGCCGAAGACACTTGGCGCGATGGACTTTGCTATCCTTTCGTATATGTCGGGCGAGGCGGCAAGCCTTCGGAATTGCTCCTCCTTTAATTTACAAAATGTGTTTACATTTACAAACAAAACTTATGTCATTTGTAAAATGGTCAAAAATCTAGATTTAAAGGTAAGGTTAAATTAGGAGAACAGCATAATATAAAAATAACTAATAAATATGGGTAATCTGATGTCAAACTTATTTTTCATCTAACAGGTAGATTATCAAAAAGTATTGGACACAAATTTTTCCTTAATCAACATAATCAAAACAGTATAAAGATACATTTATTTTAAATGTCGCATGACGTCACGACTTGGTACAATTTTTACTTAGAAGTGACGTGACGAGCATCCACCCCCCAAATTTTTTGGCGCTTTATTTTAGTCATTTATTGGTTGATTGATAAAAGAAAAATTAAATTCCATTATTTTTTAATAATTAAACTGACGAACTTAGTAGAATTACTTTTTTTTTTTTATGGTTAGTTCCGACAAATGACTCCACCCCACCTGATGTTAAGTGAAGGTGAAGTCCAGACGCGAAGATAGCTGATACAGCAGTTCTACCTGCCACACCAGCCATCCTCACCCTGCCGTCCTGCATGTTGCTTCTTCACGCCTCTTTTAAAGGATCCCAGGTTGTAAGAGGGAGGGAACACGTGAGCGGGCAGAGCATTCCATTTACGGATAGTGCGACAAAGAAATGAGTCACCAAATTTCTTTGTACGCGTTGGAATTGTGGCCACAGTAAGACGGTGACAACGTAGGCCAGCGCGCGTGGTCCTCTGAAGGAAAGGGGAAGGTGGGATAAGAGAGAATAACTCCTCAGAACACTCGCCGTGGTACAAACGATATAACGCGCTTAGTGACGCCACGTCACGGCGAAATTGAAGAGGCTCAAGGTGTTTAGTCACCTCCTCATCGCCTATGATGCGGATCGCGCGCCGCTGTAACCTATCCAAAGCATCGAGCAAGTACTTGGCGGAGCCATCCCAGAGGTGCGAGCAATATTCCACGCAGGACCGCACTTGCGTTTTGTACAACAAGCACAGTTAATCGGGCGTGAAAAAACGCCGCACCTTGTTCAGGACTCCGAGTTTGCGTGAAGCTGTTTTGATCACGGTTTCGATGTAGTCCTTTGGATTCAGGTCTGAGCGAACTTCCATACCGAGCATGGAAATGTTGCTCTGCAGCGGTAGTGTTGTGCCCTGAAGAGATGGAAGGGGAAGGAAAGGCGATGTTTTTGCCGTGAAAGCGCAAGCCTGAGTTTTTTTGGCATTGAACCCAACCAAGTTCCTGGTACCCCATTCGGAAATGTGGTCCAAAGCCTGATTGAGTTCAATGACAAGATTTTCCCGTTTCTCCCTGGTTACTGCCTGCCCAGCCGCTGCTTGTCCGAGATACCCCGCATGCACTGTACTATCGTCTGCATAGCAATGAATATTCCCAAGAGGAATCAAGTCATTGATATGCAGCAGAAAGAGAGTGGGGGATAGGACGGAGCCCTGGGGAACGCCGGCATTCACTGACATGAACCGCGAACTGCTACCATCCGTAAGGACACGAATTCTACGCTCATGCAGGAAGTCAGCTACCCAAGAACAGAACTGGGCTGGCAGACCGTATGCCGGAAGCTTGGAGAGAAGGCTTTTGTGCCAGACCCTGTCGAACGCCTTGGCAATGTCAAGGCTGATAGCCAACGACTCGCCACGCTTGTCGATAGCCTCACCCCAGATATGAGTTAAGTACGCTAGAAGATCACCCGTCGATCATTTCGGTCTAAATCCATATTGACGATCATTAATCAGGGAGTGATCCTCTAGGTAGCGGGTCAGATGGTTATTAAGGACCTTTTCTAGAACTTTACATAAAACTGAGGTGACTGCTATTGGCCGATAGTTTGCCGGGTCTGAGCGATCCCCCTTTTTGGGCACCGGTTGCACGTTAGCATCTCTCCAAGTCTCCGGCACACGCCCCAAAGAATACGAGCATTGGTACAAGCGCGTGAGCACGGGAGACAACTCCGCTGCACATTTTTTAAGTACTACAGCTGGGATGCCATCAGATCCACTAGCTTTCCGGACGTCGAGTGATTGCAATTCGGCACGAACCTCACGCTGACTGATTTTAATATCAGGCATCGTTGTGCCACAGTGAGGTAATGATGGTGGCAGTGCATTGCAATCATCGATTCGGGAGTTAGCCGCAAAGAGTTTTACCAGTAAATCGGCTTTCTCCTGCGGCTTATGAGCTAGTGTTCCGTCTGGGCATCTCAGAGGTGGCAGCGAGGGCTGGCAGAAGTTTTTTTGCACGGCCTTGGCCAAACGCCAGTAGCTACGGGAGCCCGCAGGATGCGTTATAAGTTCCTGGCCAACACGTGCAACACGCTGGGCATCCGCTCTAATGTAAGCCTTCTTACAGGCCTTGGAAGCAGAATTGTAGGCTGCTTTGAGTGAATCGACCCCGGGATCCTTGAGAGCGCGGCCTCTGATCCAAGCACCATATGCCGCTTGCTTACGCGAAGCAGCTTCACGTTCACGTTACGTGTGCCCTTACTGATGAGATCAGAATGAGGAATATAGTATTCCATACCCATTATGATCTCCTCAGTAATGGCAACGGCACTGCCCGATAGGTCCCTGTCACTGAAGCAGCGCTGCTTCCAAGGGACGGACGCAAAGTAATCACGCATACCGTCCCAATCTGCCGACCCATAATGCCAGATACGGCGCTTGACCACTGCTGGACGCGGAGGCTTGGCCTGTGGTGCTTTGGCAGATATCAGGCAGTGGTCGGACGAGCCCAGGGGGGCTCTTACCACAACCTGATAGCCCTGTGGATGGGTCGTGAGCAGAAGGTCCAGTAAAGAAGGCGCTTGACTTGGAATATCTGGGATCCTGGTGGGCTGATCAACCAGTTGCTTCAAGTCATGCGTGAGAGCGAATGTGTGAGCAGAGATCCCTGCATGGTCAGTTTTGGAAGAACTTAACCACAAATTGTGGTGAGCATTAAAGTCTCCCAAAAACACCAATTCTGCATTGGGAAATCGCTCCTGCGCGTCATCTGCTGCCCGACTAAGGTGTTCAAAAAGTCGAGTTGTCTCAACATCGCCGGTGTGGGATCTGTAGAGGCCCCAGCATGGAGAAGGAGGGTTCTTCCAAGCAGCGGAGACGGCGACAACAAACATCCGCCCGAACATACAGGCATACACCGGCTTTCGCTTTGAAGGACTCTTCAAGCACGTAGCCGGGATAATTAAGGTAGCCTGTGTCAGCAGGCGGAAGTATTTGTGTCTCCGTCAGGAACAACAATGCTGGCCGTGCTGTCTCGAGATGGTGGTGGACAGCGTTGAGGTTAGAGTGGAGTCCGCGTATGTTGCAGAACTCGACCTCAAACAGCGTTGAAGGCGTGGGGGTGTGCACCGCTGTACGTCCAAACTTTGTTATTGAGGCTGCCATGGTGGAAGTGAAAAAAAAAGAGACGCGAAAACGAGCGGACGCCGTCGCGAAGAGTCCGGGCAAATAAGGGGGGTTTGTCCTTCCGATTGACTGCCTGCAGTGGAGATGCGCCGACCCGCCGGACGGAAGGGCCCCCGCACCCCCCCGGGAGTGGCCGCCGGGACCCCACGCCCCGGTCACCAACCGGCACGACGGTCCACCCCGAGATTATGCGTGACATGATGGGGCAGCCTCGCGAACGGGTTAGGAACGCTTGGGCCCCTGTACTGTGCCACGGGCGGCCAGCGGGACAGCCGTTTCTACGGGTCTCCCTGGCCGACGGGTCGATACAGTCCTCCCGGCATCGGTTCCACGGATGCCTCCCCTGGACCGAATCCTTCGCGACAACTTCCACTCGAGCTCTGGTTGTACGCTGGCTGACCCCGAAACGCGCGAGAAGCACTTCACGGGTTTTACACCATGCGCACGGTGGTAACAAACCCGGCGGGTGTTAGGCACCCTACCACCAGAAGAGCGGATGGAAGCTTCGACATCCCTTAGTCGCTTCTTACGACACCCACGGGAAGAAAAGGGGCGGTGAGTTGTATTCTTTCTCCGTCACCACACGGATAAAATCGTTAATGTACTTTACTCTGTCATCATCCCTATTGTAAATTGCAGAGATAATTAAATTTTAAGACTAAAATTTTAATGTAGTATAAGTTTATATGTACACACAGACCGTTCCAAGTTATATAAACTTGGCTGTGATGTGGTTCAGGAAAGATATCGAAAACAGCCTCCATCATGGAGCCAATCATACGATGGATAACCAAAAATGTATTATATCATGCTCCTCCTTGCTTAATAATGCACGTTAAGTCATTGTCTTGGCCAAAAATCTAATTCTATCCATAGATAAGGCCTGTACCCCAGTAGTAGGGACATTAATAGGTTGATGCTATTATTTTATTTCATTTTGAAAATGCATAACGATTACAGCAAACAACAACATATTACCTAATTAAGTAAATACTACACAATATTGTAACACATTTTCGAATGACGATGCTGAAAATTGCCTGCCCGGTAGATTGCTACTTTAGCACTAAGGCCGTCTTTTGTGTTAGCATTCCTGTGTCTATGTATTTGTGTAAAATTGCTTTATAGTCCAACCAACGAATTAGAAACAATATAGAATACGAATTGCACAAAAAAGTAGTTCCGTGCAAACTGCGATTCAGTGAGCGGGGCAAAAATACTAATGCTATCAACACGCACGCCGATCATGGGATTGGTTGGGGGTTTCCGTTTAACATTATACATTTACCCAATTTATGGATAGCCAAATTCATTAGCAGACATGTGATGTCTGCCTGTTTGATGCCTGTCGCGTTTGTATTGAAGTTTAGCTGTACGAGTTTGGAACCATTTTTTGTTATGCCTTTGTTATAGAGTAATGCTTTCATAGCATTTCTCATTCTTTAAGTGTAACATAGAATATAGATAGATAGATAGATTAACACTTTATTATAACACCAAATACACAATTTACATTAACAATTAATAAACTTAACAAAAACAATATAATTGGCGGTCTTATCGCTAAGAGCGATTTCTTCCAGTCAACCGTGAGTATAAAATGTTATACAGAGACTGTAGGTCGGGGTGTTATATGGCTTGGAGTAAATAGCCACATCTTCACATACAACTTTACTTAAACCTAAGTTTTCTAATTCAAAAATACATAGAATATATACATTTATAGTAAGTTACCTCGTCTGCGGTGAAAGGTCTGAGGCCACCAGTCACGCTTTCTTCAGCGGTGAGTCCCACAGCGCGAACGTATGACGAACGAACACCCACTGACCCTTTTTCGCGTCCCTCTCGCTGCAATATTTATCTCAAGCTCAACATGATAATGCTTCACATTGCTATTATATGACTGGCGTTAATTGTAAAATAAATAAATAATAAATATTTCCAGCACTCACACCAATTAGCCTAGCCCCAAAGTAAGCACTATAAGGCTTGTGTTATAGGGTACTAGGGTAACCCATAGAATACATATACTGTACCTACATATATAAGTATATTTATATAGAAATACATATTAAATATCCATGACTGGAGTACAAATGCTCGTATTGATCACACAAACATGGCAGATGGCCTATCGGGATTCCAACAAGGGACCTCTGGAGTCGGCATCACCATGAAACCTGGCGTACAAACCACTCGACCACGGAGGTGGTCCAACTAATATTATGAATGTGAAAATTTGTATGTTTGTTACTCAAATCCAAATCGGTTCAGCCATCATGCATGGCTTAGGCACACATATAGTTTTATTATTATATATGTTGTTTGATTTGATAGTTGAATAATTATCTTATTACTATCAGAGATAATAATAACAAAGACATATGTACAGTATAATATGTATTCTATCCATTACCCTAGTACCCCAAAACACAAGCCTTAAAGTGCTTACTTTGGGGCTAGGCTAATTGGTGTGTTATTGGAAATATTATTTTATTTTTATTAGTAGGATCATCATTATAAAGAGACTTACTCCAATTTTGGCGATTTTCTTAATGGAATATATTCCTAGTACTGTGACGCGCGCGCCCGGCGCTACGCGTTCACACAGCACCCGTTCGCAGTAAACGGATAAATGCCGAGGCATCTCGCCCTGCGGGATGCTTTCTGGTGCCTCTTGTAGCTTCAGCACCTGGTATTAACAATGTTGTTAATGGCTAAGGGCCATGTTAATACATCACTTTCAACTTTACGATATATTTATATTAATTTATGTCACACAAATACAATAAAATATGAAAATTTAAATGTTTGGGGCATTTCATCTTGTGGGATGCTTTCTTGTGCCTCTTGTAGCTTCAGCATCGGGGTCCAATTCTCGGTTTTATTGAATAAATCTCGAAATAGACATTATCCGACCACTCGGAGCCATTTGAGCAGTTTTCGTTAGAAAAATGTCGCATTGTCGACATTATGGAATAGCACTATTCTACTACTATTCAAATTCGTGATTGGGAATTAGTGCATGAGAATTGCCTGCTTGGTATAATTTTTAGTACAGTAATATTGCTGTAGGTCAAGTAATATTGCTGTTAATGACTAACATTCTTTTAACATTTAGGGCACACAAATACAAGAAAATATGAAAATTGTAAAGTTTACACATTAGCAGGCTCTTTTGAATTATCATGCAGATTACTTGTTGTCAAAAGGCATCAAGATATAAGAAAATCTATATTTTTGAAGAAAAGAATGATGTTCAATTTGGTTTAAAATATTTGGTAGATGTCATCAACTTAATTCAATAATTTGTTACTAAAAAAAATATCCATCACACATTGACTCCAAGGTTGATTAATGGAAACACTTTGTAATTGAGTCACTAACCTGATAATCAATACACTTGCATTTGTCCGGTATGATAAAGTAAGGATCTAATGGACATTTTGGTCGACCAGCTTGTTCACTAGAAACAAGAAACTAATTAATATTTGTAGCAAGAAGTAGGTACTATAGATAGAATATACTGTCCCATATTGATAGATCTCTTTCAGAGTTGAGAGTATGATCTTGAGATGCTGTTTCGTATGAAAACAGTATCTCAAGATTGTAGTCTCAGAGTTGAGAGAAATCTATTAATACAGTCAGAGTGGGAGTGATCTATTAATACAGTCTCAGAGTTAGGCCTAGAACTATGTTTATAATACAAAAATAGTATTTATTTTAAGACTTACGTGTTGCACTTTCTAGGCAATACATAGCCCTCAAGACCTGGTTTCACTGGCAGATTTGGTATGATATTACGACAAGATCTACACTGAATTGATATTTTTGTAGCTTTCGCTTTGATTCCTGATGCTGATATTACTATTCCAGGGATTTTGACAAGTCTCGATACTGTCTCAGACTGTAAAATAATAACCAATTAATAAAAATACAATTGCACTGAGTGATATTTATAGCTAAAAATGAAGACAAGAATCAAGAACCCAAATCAAAATCAAATGATATAAAAATATAGTTTCCCTTGGCACTCACTTTGAGTTCACGCAGATTTGCTGCATGTGCATCTGAAGAGAGTAGCACTTGAATATCCTCTACTTTTTCTTCACCTTCTGGTCTTGGTGCTGTTAGTTCATCCGCTAACTGAAATGTTTGTACACAAAAAGTCCGATATATTCTTTTAAATTTAAATGGTCACTAACATTATAGTAACAAAAAACATTGTACATGGCAGCAATTATGTTTTTAAATAACTATATTGTTCATTGAATATAGTAAATGAATATGTACCTCTTTGGCTGCTTCTTCTAAAATTGGTAAATGTTCTGATGGTTTCTTGTACAACTTTTCAGCTAATACTTCATCGAAACTAGATAAGTCTTCAATGTTAATTTCAACCCAATAGTTTGCCAAGTTATAGTTCCGTTTCAAAGCATCTCTGTAAACATTACAAAGAAGTAGAATGTAGTATTGAAAAACATAGATAAAATCACAAATAAGATGGAATAAAACAGTACTTAATTATCATAAATATGGTGTTATGACTATAGGGGAAACAACTTGCCTGTATTTGTAGTTAAAATTCCCTGTATGAAATTGGCGAATAAACTCTTTGAACTTTTTTTTCACGGCTTGAAGGTTAACTTGATCTTGAGATTCATTCTCTTCAACGCCGAAGTTATCAGAAAAGAAAACACCCGGATCATCAAATCCTTCCATTGTATGTACTTACAGAGATATGTATTGTATTTTAGTAATTTTTATACAAAACAACAAAATCGCTGGCTAGCTGCAATATTTGGCGCGTAAAATTTGACAATGATTGACACGTTTTTTTGGATAATATTCCCTTAATGCGAACACAAAGGATATTGAGATCATACAGCCTGATTATAACTTTTTCCTTTAAAATGCTTCTTGGAGTGTAAGACACAAAATGTATCGAATCAACTTTCTTGATGAACTTTTGTAACGTGTTCAGGACAGCCGCTCTCAACAGTCCAAGCGGCGTGAAGTGAAGCGAAAAATGTCGGCCATTCCGGACTTTTAGTTAGAAATACCATTTTCTCGCTAAATAATGAAGCTAGGATTAAACAAAAAATACTACCGTAAAGCTGATTAAATAAAGAATCTACTACAGAACACTTGGATCTCTGTAACTCGAAAAACGATTAAATAGAGCGGGTTGAACCCAACAAAAAGTCAATTTTTAATAAACTTTTAAAATTAAACGCCTATTTCCTAATGTTAGTTACGAAAATATCAAAATAAGTTGTTCTCAAAATGCAAATTTAACTACCTTTCTAATGGTATCAATAACTTTTTTTAATTCAGTCTGAATCCTTTTCAGTAAAGCAAAATCTAACATCCTGTCGACTTCTCATCCACCACGGCTTCGGCCATTTCGGGCGACGGAAATATTCACAAGATGGCCGCCGTTCCTAAGGCTCAATACGGACTCTGCGTAGTAGCCGAGTAGGTTACTTCTAAATAAAAAGAATTCAATATTTTATATTTTTTTTATTTTTAATAAATATACCTACTATATATATGTATATTAGTTATGTATATATATATATATCTAATATATAAAATTCTCGTGTCACGGTGTGCGTAATTGAACTACTCCGATACGGCTCGACCGATTTTCGTGAAATTTTATTGGCATAATCAGTAGGTCTGAGAATCGAACAACATCTATTTTTCATCCCCCTATATACACACATCAAAAGTGTCTAGGGATCAAGCATTTTTATGCGGATTTCTTGAGATTGAGATGTGGCTTTGTAATAAATTTATGATTTTATAAATTTATATGGATCCTTTTTGGTGCATTTCATAATTTGAATCAGGAACTGTGAATCAAATTCGAGTAAAAGATGAAAATCAGCTGTCAATATTTTCCCTATAAAAACATACAACGCATTGAAGACATTATTAGTGCTACTGTTTCCCTACTACTGATTAAAACCAACGTTATTATGGAGCGGCGACGTCATTTAAGCAGGGAAGAAATGCTCAGAGCCGTGGGAATGATAGAAGCTGGTTCCCGGCAACGTACTGTGGCTTTAGCTCTGAATACAAGTCAGAGTGTTATCAGTCGACTTTGGACACGATACCGAAGCACTGGTACCGTGGCTGAGCGCCATGGAGGACGGTATCGCTGCACCACACGGAGACAAGACCGATACATTCAAATCTTAACTCGAAGAGCTCCAACAATAACCGCCATGATGTTAGCCGTGAGGCTTCATCACTCTTCAGGGAACTTAATTAGCGACCAAACAGTCAGAAACCGCTTGCATGAAGTGAACCTTCATTCCCGAAGACCGCTACGGGTACCACCTATAGCAATGCACAATCGTAGGATTCGATATCAATGGGCTCTTGAACACAGAAATTGGGCAGAAGAACAATGGCGTTTCGTGTGCTTTTCTGATGAGTCTCGTTTTGGTATGAGACCGGATACAAGACGTATACGACACTGGAGAACCCCTGGACGCCAACAGCGATTAAAATCCTGCCAGGAAGTCCATCCTTATAGTGGTGGAACCATCATGGTATGGGCGGGTATTTGGATCGGCGGAAGAACTGAGTTGATTTGGATCAGAGGCAACCTCAACGCTCAAATTTATGCTGAGACGATTGTATCAGACGTCATCGTTCCTCTACAAGTGCAAATCGGTCCCTTATTTCAGTTAATGCATGATAATGCACGACCGCACACCGCAAGAGTTGTAAGACAGACTCTCGCCGCAGCTAACATCAATGTCCTGCCCTGGCCTGCTCAGTCGCCAGACTTGAACCCGATTGAGCATGCATGGGATATGCTACAGAGAAGAGCTCTGCCGAATATGGAGGGTATCCAGTCGCAAGAAGACCTTTTTTTGTTGTTGCAACGAACATGGGCGGCCATTCCACAGCGTGATTTGGATGAACTCATTTTGAGTATGCCAAACCGATGTTCTTGTGTTGTTAGTGTTCGCGGTAGAAATACGGATTATTAATTGTTTAAGTTACCCAATAAAATTTTAGAGAAAACTGTTATTTCAGTCTTTTTTTCGAACTTTTGTGTTAGTGGTTCAAATGTCAAAAATCCCTTTATTAGGAAAATGGCAAATTTCTTTATTAATGCAAAGGTGACTTGGTTTATCGTTACTGTGACAAACGAAAACACTTTATTTGATGAATCCTTAAAGAAAATTTTAATTAATATCAATCAGGAGAAAAGTTATTGCAAAAATATATGTTGATCCCTAGACACTTTTGATGTGTGTATATATTATATCTTCATGCAGATGATCAGGATGTTGGTTGCTTTCTCCTTATTGGGCCGGCCTGTCGCAACTGTCATTAGGTGCGAAATCTGAAAAACAGTTAGGTATATATTTATTAAAATTAGAAAAGCAAGAAAAAATCACGTCCACAACAAAAAAATTATGAACAAACAAACCACCTCTTTTAAGCACATGAGTAAAAGTAGACTACAAAACATAGCTAAGAGTAAAAAAAGCTTGTTTTTAAGTTTTTTTAGTTTAAAGATGCACATAATCGAGAACTTTAAAACCCCACATATCTAGCTAGTTTTTTTTATTTGATACCCTTTAGGAAAGCATAAAAAACTTAGCAGTATAAAAAAGCGGTATTGAATTAAGTTGACGTCACTTTATTTATCGAGTTATTCTCAGCAAGCCCTTTCATTTGATACCCATATTGTAGCAAAACACAAAAAAACTTTGTCCGCCATATTGGATTTAAAGTGACGTCACTTTATTTATCGAGTTATTCTCAGCAAGCCCTTTCATTTGATACCCATATTGTAGCAAAACATAAGAAAACTTTGTCCGCCATATTGGATTTAAAGTGACGTCACTTTATTTATCGAGTTATTCTCAGCAAGCCTTTTCATTTGATACCCATATTGTAGTTGTGCATCGAAAATAGCTAGTCCGCCATCTTGTATGTTCCGACATATAGGATTTAGAATGACGTCACACAGCTCACCATGCATTATCATCCAAACTAAACGTGTGTACAAAATTTCAGCTCAATCTAATGAAAACAACTGCTACAAAATTGAGTTGCAAGATTCCAACCGAACAAACATACATACATACATAGCTACAATATGTGTAGCAAAACATAAAAAAACTTTGTCCGTCATATTGGATTTAAAGTGACGTCACTTTATTTATGGAGTTATTCTCAGCAAGCGCTTTCATTTGATACCCATATTGTAGCAAAACATAAAAAAACTTTGTCCACCATATTGGATTTAAAGTAACGTCTCTTTATTTTTTGAGTTATTCTCATCATGCCCTTTCATTTGATACCCATATTGTAGTTGTGCATCGAAAATAGCTAGTCCGCCATCTTGTATGTTCCGCCATATAGGATTTAGAATGACGTCAGCTCACCATGCATTGGGCCCAATTCTGGCGTGCCAACTTATATCTAAAACTAACTAAAATTAGATATAGAGTTGTCAAATTCAATTTGGTATTCTGTAATGACACACTATCTCTAAATTTAAAATTGACGTCGCTAGGTTATTTAACTTAGATTTAGATGATTAAATGATATTCTGAAACGCGTTCTCAATGTCATATTTTCTCTAAAATTAGAAATGTCACACTAAAGGAGATTGCTCAGCTTCCATACATGTTTGGCCTAAAAACCAATAACCATGAAAAATTGTTTCCTAGATTCGAAATTATAAAAATATTATCGACGGCCACTCCTGAGAACTTCTATAAACCATATACACTGAATGATTTGAGGTATGTTTGCAAATAGGCACATAGGTATTAGAATAATAAAAACCAAATAACTTATATAGGAAAATAGGGCAATCAAGCCAAGTACCGATATTATGTATTAGATTCAGGTATATAGAGCATGTAAAATAACAGATAATTGCCTGTTTTTAAAATTAATGCACAAGAGTAAGTTTTAAAATCATGATTATGCCATTGCGACTTTCAGAAGCAATCTTGTTTCATTTGACAAGTGTCTAACACTAATTACACTAACAAAATGCATGTCAAGGAACTGGTACCTGCTTACCTATGTTATGAGAAACATGGAACTGTTATCATAATTTTATAAAAACCAATAGGATATTTTCTTAGTAATAATTAGGTTTATAATGGTAAAAGGTAATTCTAATGTAATAATATATTGCGTAGGTTCATGATAGTTCTGATCAATGTGTGAAATTAGTATATTCCTGACATAGCTTAAATATTCTGATAAGGTAAATTAATGAAATAAAACAACTTAAGTACTTTTATGTTGCGTTTAATATTACATATCATCTACATTTTGAATTAAAATATCATCGAAATATTTTATCAATCTTTACAAAATAGATTTGTTTTGATGTTATATAAACAACCTCGATCAGTCTTTGTGAATGTTACTACACCCAAGCCAATAAAAATGATTCGTATGTTTTCCAAACCGGTAAAAGTCCTTTTTTAAAATTAATATATTATTTAAAGGTGGCCGTTAAAATCTAATGACTGTAAAATAAAGTATAAATTACGCCAAGAATTACTGTATATGTCAATATTTTATTTGCATTTAGGCCAATTTGACCAATCTCCTTTAAGATGGACCTACGGAGGTCCTCTCTAAATTTAAATGTGATTAATTGGGGCCAAATAGCACGTAAATGATTGCTGTTCCTTGATGTTAAGGTTGGTTAAGGGTTAATTTCGTTAAAAAAATACATAAATTTTATACAATAATGAACAGTGACGGTGATAATAATATATTAGCTAGATCTTTTATTTTTTTAAAAAGGTAGGTAAGTCTTTGTTTCGATGCGGATTTATTATAAGCTTATTAATGTGTCATGGCCTATTGCGACTTAGTGGGGGCTAACGACTGCAGGTG